ACGTCACGTCCTTGGTACTCTCCTTTTACACGACCCATTTGAGCAAATACGGAGTGCGGAGGAAAGAAAAGACCAAAGCATTATATGATGTCGCTGCCAAACTCCACGGCCAATCACCTGTACCTCCATGCCACATGGAACAGCCTCACGACGGACGTAGTGAGTGCAGCACCCACTGTCCTCCATCCAGATAACAGCTTCGAGTTGTCCCTCGTGCCCGATAACAGATGTCAACTATTCTGTTGTCAACATGAAGAAAAATGATAAAAGAGACACAGCCACAAGCGGCTCTTCTCATATCCTCTTATCGTGTTATCACTCGACCTTATGATAAGAGACGGTCTGCCGTTTGCCTTTGTTTCGTGCACATCGAGGCTTATCCTGCCTTGGTTTTTGTCGATTTACGTAAAGCCAGGCCACGGGACTTTGCGGAGAGAGCATTAGCGGCGGCAGAGAGAGGCGTAGGCTTCACAGCAAGCTAAAATATAATGCACGTGACCCCCCTCGAAAGCATGGAACACCGCCTGACCCCTCCCTACCCGACGGTAAGCGGCCTCAGAGAACGCCGTCCGTCAGAACCAGCCTACAAAGTTACATCAGAAAGCACAAAAAGAAAAGTTACGCAAAATGCACGTTGCAGACAAAGCATGCAGAGCAGTCAGAGAAAATCATGCACATCGTTATGTCCGTGGGCCCTGCTGCTTGCACCTTCACTTAGGGGTATAGCCTCGCAGCTCATTTGTCGGCATACCTTCACTTAGGGGTCTAGCCTTGTCGGCCGCGTCGGCTGTTTTGTGGTGCTTTGGGGCACATTGGGTGAGCCAAAATGCGCCCCTTCTTGTCTGCGTCGGCACACCTGCACTTAGGGGTATAGCTCGCTTCGTCTGATCCAAGCTCAACCTCTGGTCGACGCCCCTTTGCCGCCTCTTTTTCCAGTCTCTTTACCTAATTGGCGGGGCCGTCCAGCCCTTTCTTACGAGACATTTTGTTCCTTTGGCTCGTCTTCCGTTCCTTTTCTTCCATTCTTCTTTGGCATTTCCAATCTTATCAATGGAGCTGAAGGGTGAGATAAAGTAAAAGAAAAAGAAAAAAGGGTCAGCAGGACAGCCCCCCGAGGCAGAGACCACGACAACAGGGCAAAGGGGAAATGGAAACAGGACAATGTGTATATAAATGGGCAACCCATGTGTCTTTCTTTTTGTTAGAATCTACGTTTGCTATCAATTTACAATCTTTAGCTAGATTGCCCTCCAATGCTCTTCTTTCCCCGAGCTGCTCCTACCTTTGTTGCCTCGAAGCTCTGTCACCCCTCACATTCTGTCCGATCGCCCCTGCCCTACGTCACGCAGCTGCCGGATTGGGACAACAACAGAGAACACTTACTGAGAATCTCGGATTGAGAGAAAACAAACAACGTCGTCGCTCGTCTTCGCCCGTCTTCGCCCCCTTTCACAAATCTGATTTTCTTCTTTTCCCAACCTACCTTTGCTCTCCCTCTCGCCGCTCAAAAATGGCAACCAACGGAAAGATGACAACCTCCATGGTGACGTCAAAGTTCCTTGACCACCAGTCCGACCTGGGCGTCGTGGCTGTCGGCTTTTCTGGTGGACAGGTATGTTCTTCGCTCTCCCTTTTTTTAATTTCATTATTACGTTTTTTACATTTTGTGCATTTTTGACCCTCCCTCTGACCGTTCCAGTGCAAACCCGGCGTCGACGCTGCCCCTTCGGCCCTCATCGAGTCTGGCCTGCTCACCCAGCTGCGCGACGAGCTCGGCTACACCCTGCACGGCGACGACAAGGTCCACCTCTACACCGACTTGGTGCCTGCCAATGACGCCGACTACCGCGGCATGAAAAACCCGCGCGCCGTCTCTGCCGTCACCGAGCGCATCGCCGAGCAGGTCTACGCCCAGTCACGCGAAGGCCGCCTGACCCTGACGCTGGGCGGCGACCACAGCATCGCCATCGGCACCATTGCCGGCACCGCCAAGGCGACGCGCGAGCGTCTGGGCCCGCGCGGCGAGATGGCCGTCATCTGGGTGGACGCACACGCCGACATCAACACCCCCGAGACCAGCGGCAGCGGCAACATCCACGGCATGCCCGTGGCGTTCTTGACCGGCATCGCCTCGGACACAAACAAGGATTACTTTGGCTGGCTGCGCCCGGAGCACCGCCTCAATGTCACGAAGCTCGTGTACATTGGCCTCCGCGACGTCGACGCCGGCGAGAAGCGGATCCTGCGCGAGCACGGCATCAAGGCCTTTAGCATGTTCGACATTGACAAGCACGGCATCGGCCGCGTCATGGAGATGGCCCTCGCCCACATTGGCTCCGACACGCCCATCCACCTGTCCTTTGACGTCGACGCGCTCGATCCCATGTGGGCGCCCTCGACGGGCACGCCCGTGCGCGGCGGCCTGACGCTGCGCGAAGGTGACTTCATCTGCGAGAGCGTCCACGAGACGGGCCAGCTGATTGCCATGGACCTCGTCGAGGTGAACCCGAGTCTGGCGCCGGAGCAGGATATGGGTGCGCACGAGACGGTGCGTGCGGGGTGTTCGCTGGTGCGGTGCGCCCTGGGCGAGAGCCTGTTATAATTAGGCAGGTGAAAGTGGAAAGAACGTGAACGTGAACAAGAAGCGAGAACGAGAACGGTAATGACAACCTAGACATGGAATGGGACATGGGTTAATGACACATCAGAGATTAGAAAGGATACATGAATTCTGAAAGCGTAACCAACATTCGTTTGTACTACATAATGTCGACAAGAATGACTTCAAAACCGAACGCCGTTGTATGAATGATAATGTACAGTGGGTTGAGCATACATGCTCGTTTACGTATGTGCTGTGCTGTGGTCTACGATGTGCAGCCGCCTCAACCACCTCAACTGCCGCGGCGTCGGGCATCCGACTGTGCCAGCAGCCCCGCTGTCTCGTACGTGCCCCAGCCCTCTCGTCGCTCTAGGAAGCTGTCCACCCGCCCGGCGCGGCTCAGCGGCGCAATCGCGGCTTGCTGGCTTTGGAGCGTCGACGAGATCGCCGCGTCGTGCTCGTCCCGCCTCGCCAGAATGCTGGCCCCGTGGCTGCTCGCTCGCGTCATCTGGCCAAAGCCGCCCAGAAACACGAGAACGAGCACAACCACGGCAAACCCGCCGTTGGACATGAACTGCTCCGTCTGCTTGGCCCCCGCCGCATCCCCCGACGGCCCCGCCCCGTTCTCCTGTCGCCACCGCTCCCAGTCCTCCCACGTCGCATTGTACGCCGCGCTGCCCTTGCGCTGCCGCCACGTGTGGTCGTACTCGCCGCCTGCCTTCATTTTGTCTCGGTCCCTCGGGGACGCCCACCCCTGGCCGTACAGGTCGTACATCCGCCGCCGCCCCGCGTGGCTCAGAATGTCGTTGGCCGCCACAATCAGCCGGTACCGCTCGAGCCGCACCGCCGGCGACAGCCCCTTTACGTGGGCCGGCGTGCCGTGGTGCATGTCCGGATGGTACTGCTTGGCGAGGGCATAGAAGCGCTTCTTTTGGTACGCGGCCGTCTTGTGCTGGCCAAAAATCTCGTACGGTGTCGGGTTGGGCGACGCGGGCCACGTATGGTGGGCCATCTCCCCGCGACTGTCGGACCCGTGTTCCCGAGGCCGGTGTCGGCCGTGCGCATGACCATCGTCGCTGTGCAAAAACCCGTCGTCATGGATGGCCGTGGCATAGGCGCGCGTGGACGTTGTCCGTTGTATGGGACGAGCGTCTGGCCGAACACTGGGCCGTCGGGAGACGGGTCGTGATAACGGTCTCGATAACCTTGCGAGTGGCGCCACAGTCGTCCGCCGCGGGGCCCGCGTCAACGCAGTCCGGGCATTGCAGCAGTAGGGACAGGCGCCCATGTTGTAGTATGTCGAGCGATTCGAGTTTGAGATGCAAACAAAGGCTCCAAAAGCCAACGTCGATGTTTGTTCATGTCTTAATCGTATGAGAAGTGCGGAGTTGCCATTCCCATAGTGCGCACGTGTGGGCCCCCTCGTCCACCCGTCATTGCCCTTGCCACCACCTGCCGGAAATGCAGTGTGGGAGCCTTGGGCGCTGGAGGGCAAGTGCGACTAGCCTGGTCCGGCTTGCTTCTTCGCACCTTCCACCAAGGCCAGCATCCCCACAATTCACGTGCAACGTCCTGCCCGCCCACCGCTTCTCGAGCACCCCGAAAGATCGTCTTTTGACCTGTCAGACCTATTTTTCCCGCCATGGAGAGCCTTCCGTTTAGCAAACAGAAAAAAAACACAACCTCACAACTTCCGCCCTCTACTCATCACAACCACAGCCTCAAAAACCACCATTGTGATTTCGCCTTTGGACTGAAATCTATCTCAACTAAGCTACGTTTATTTTTTGTCCTACATCTGTGCTCTCTTAGCTTACTCGCCTCCCCTACTCTTGACATTCCGCCTCGGACGCTTGCCACTGTATCCTCAAAAAGCCTCGCGATACCCCTCCCGTTCCTTGCAACCTCTCACCTTTGCCGACTCGCAGCGAACCCTACGTTGCCTCTGACCTCTATCTAAATCGACTCTCATCGACGTGATCGACAGGTCTCTTGACTTTAGTCTTGGCCTACCAGACGAACAGCGACTGCCTGCCTCGACAGCGGCCTCCCTTATTACCAAAGAGCTGAAAGAATCAGCCAGAAAATCTACAAAGTTACAAATAAACAGACCAACTCACGGGGCCTCGACGTCTATTACTGGGCCGACACCTCAGTCCAGCCGATATCTACGATAATCATCTCGCCTTGACGAGCACCACGACGCCCAGTCGCAACAAACGATCCTGCAGGCAAGACGACTCTTGACTTGCATCGACGACAATCTCTTTAACACCACACACACTGCAGACGAACGCTCGACAAAGGCTCCCTCCCTCTGTCTTGAGCGATTCTTCACGAGATCTTCTCTCCCACGCAACCCTTACCTCCACTTTCACCTGTACACCAGAGAGCTACAATGGCCGACGGGCTCGTTGAAAAGTTAAAGTCGGCCACGTTAACGTGCGTACACCAGCAGGCATGGACAGCCTTGCTTTTCTCTGCTTTTCCATGCCCCTCCCTGATCCCAAAGTCGCCCATGCTAACGTCCTTGTCCTTCCCGCAGCGATGGCGCGACGCAAGACGATTGGAAGAAGTCTCTAAAACTGCCGCAGCGGGACAATAGACAGCAAACTGAAGTGAGTGTCTATTCCGCAACAGTCCCGGCTGCTGACTGCAAGACCACAGCTAACACTCTTCTTTTTTCACCACCAGGATGTTACAAATACAAAGGGCCTCGAGTTCGAGGAGTTCAACCTCAAACGCAACCTGCTCATGGGCATTTTCGAGGCGGGCTTCGAAAAGCCATCCCCTATCCAGGAAGAGAGCATCCCTGTCGCCCTGACCGGCCGCGACATCCTCGCACGTGCAAAGAACGGCACCGGCAAGACGGCGGCCTTTGTCATCCCCGCGCTCGAAAAGATCAACCCGAAAATCTCCAAAATCCAATGCCTTATCCTCGTGCCCACGCGCGAGCTCGCCATGCAGACCTCGCAGGTGTGCAAAACGCTCGGCAAGCACCTCAACCTCAATGTTATGGTCACAACGGGTGGTACTGGCCTGAGAGACGACATTGTGCGTCTGCAGGAGGCCGTCCATATCGTGGTTGGCACGCCCGGTCGCATTCTGGATCTCGCTAGCAAGGGGGTCGCCGATCTGAGCGAGTGCCCCATGTTCATCATGGACGAGGCCGACAAGCTGCTGTCGGCCGAGTTCACCCCCGTCATCGAACAGCTGCTGCAGTTCCATCCCAAGGACCGCCAGGTCATGCTCTTCTCCGCCACGTTCCCGCTGTCCGTCAAGGACTTTTCCGACAAGAACATGAGCTCGCCCTACGAAATCAACCTAATGGACGAGCTGACGCTGCGCGGCATCACGCAGTACTATGCGTTCGTGGAGGAACGCCAAAAGGTGCACTGCCTCAACACACTCTTCTCCAAGCTGCAGATCAACCAGTCCATCATCTTTTGCAACTCGACCAACCGCGTCGAGCTGCTCGCCAAGAAGATTACGGAGCTCGGCTACTCGTGCTTCTACTCGCACGCCAAGATGGCCCAGCAGGCGCGCAACCGCGTGTTCCACGACTTCCGCAACGGCGTGTGCCGCAACCTGGTGTGCTCGGATCTGCTGACGCGCGGCATCGACATCCAGGCCGTCAACGTCGTCATCAACTTTGACTTCCCCAAGAACGCCGAGACCTACTTGCATCGCATCGGTCGTTCGGGCCGGTACGGCCACCTGGGTCTTGCCATCAACCTGATCAACTGGGAAGACCGGCTGAACCTGTACAACATTGAGCGCGACCTCGGCACGGAAATACAAGCGATCCCCGCGACCATCGACAAGAGCCTGTACGTCTACGACAGCCCCGAGAGCATCCCGCGGCCCATTGCCACGCTGGCCAAGCCGGCGCCACACCATGCGCCACCTCCTCAGCAGCAGCAGCAGCAGCAGCAGCAGCAGCAAAGCAATGGGAACCAGTCCGCCCCGGCCGGACCTCTCTTCCAGCAACACAACCCCTTCCCAGTGGTGCCGCAGCAACCGCAGCAGCAACAATACCCGGGACAGCAGCAGCAGCAGCAGCAGCAGCAGCATAGGGGCCAGGTTCAACCGTCCCTGCCGCAAGCACATGGTGGTTGGCAGTCGCGTGATGGCGGCAACGCCAATGGTGGTGGTGGACGTGGCAACTACAACAACAACAACCGGGGCCAGTCTTCCGGGTTCCGCGGCGGCGGCCGTGGCCGTAACAACGGTTACCAGGGCGGCGGCGGCAACAGGAACAACCAGCACCAGAACGGTGGCGCTCGTGGCCGTGGCGGTCAGGGTCAGGGTCAGGTCCAGGGCAACAGCACACCGTCTGCCCAGCAGTAATGTGCTCCGAACTTCGTGTCCATTTTTTCCCCTATTTTTTAACTCCGACACGACTTTCTTTCGACTGTATATATTCTCTCCCATTTTACGACTATCTCGGCATTGTTCATCTTTCTCCTCGACTTTCTCTGTCGCTGCAGACTTCTTTCGAGACGTCAGTTCTTTTTCTGTTTCTTTTTATCCCGACGGCGAACAAACGGGTGCATTCAGCGCACGTAACGGCAGCAACATTCATTTGTCTACTCTTTTTTTCCACTGTTGTCTTCCTTTTGTCATGATGATGTTTGTAAGAGCCATCTATTGCTGTGTTAACCGTCGTTTTGTTTTGTCGCCTCTCTCACTTTTTTCTTTCTACTCTTATCTGCTCCTTTTCATTCTCTTGTCTGTTTTACTCAGGAGATACCAGGCATGCGATTTGGGCGTTTTCACGGAAAGGAGTGCCTGTGGATACGAGGGTATGGTCGGACGAAGGATTTTGTCGGTTGGGAGGAGGATGGTTTTATTGGGACGGACGATATAGGACATTTGGTTTCCCGCCTGTTTGGAGGTGATGTTGAGGAGACAGACCAAATGTTCTCGGCGTTGGGAGAAAAAAGGACTCGGCATTTCTGACTGTTTTTATGCTACTTTGTCCTGTTTGTTGCGCATTGCATTCTTGTCCTTGTTCGACAGGGCAAAGCAGTCGGGAGACGAAGACGAAACGGGACGGTGATTGTTGGAGCTGGGGCGGAACGCGGTCGAAGTGGTGAGGAAAGATGGACGGTGGTATGCGACTTTGTTGGCGGTGATGTCGAGGGACCGACAAGCAAGTGTTGCGTGTTGAAGCGATGTCCTGCGTGTGCCGCTTCCACCAAAACAGGGGACGACGAGACGACGAAAAGACGAAAAAGAGGAGGAAAACGAAACCAAAAACAAAAAGAAAACTACTAAAAATGCTTGAGAGTGCTCGAGACACGGCTTTTCTTGACAGGAAAGCTCTCTTGCAAACGACTAGAATAGATTCCAGGGTGTGTTGCGCAACGAGCGTACCAGACAATACAAACCACTATTCTTTCTCTCACTCTGCGGATTTGGCTGGACTGTGCGTTGGCTCTTGAAACGATCTGCGTACAACTACGACAAGGACACCACTTGTCTGTGTGTCCGAGTGTCCTACTTGATTTGCACTAATTTCCACGACTGGCTTTACGCCGGTCGCGAACACACATCTACGAGCTGAGTTCACATCGCCATTGCTCACAACCACAATGCGAGCTTACACAGCCCTTCTCGCTCGCACGGCGGCATGGGCCATGGCTGAACCGTCGTGCACAACGGCCACCTGGGTCTTTGACAACCTCTCAGCCAAGCCGCCCATTACGTCGTACCCCGACGACGCCCCCCCGACAATGTACGCGTAGTATGGGCGGATGTGATGGACCGTGTGTACTTGTGGACGTGGTCCGGTGATGCTGGTGCAGCCGCATGTAAGAGTGAGGTGTTGCAGTCGTGGTTGTGGTGGTGATGGTGCATTCATACCCAGTAAGCTGACTGTGTTTTGACGACCGGACTTTTTTGTAGAGGCCGGTGCCGAAGCGGTCAGCTAATGCTGCGGGGCCCTAGGGACGTGGATGGTCAGGTCTCCGCCCGGAGTTTTGCTCCATGCAGCTCTTTGCCGCAAAAGGAAAGAAGCGACAAAAGTGGCTCCGTGGAATTACCGTAATATAACGACGATATATATGGCATTGGCTCTCGTCCAGTTTCACATTCTTCTATTAGGGATTTTGTCGTTTGCCGTACATTTCGTTCCTTTCCATTTTTCATCGTTATCACAGCGCCACCCGCATCTACACCCACAATGGCCGACCGTTTCTCGCAAGCCGTCAAGACGGCGTTCGCCGCCTTTGAAAAGAAGGGCAAGGACAATTCCACAGGCTCGTCCGCCACTCTGCGGCTGACCTTTGGTAGCCAGGCCGACGGCGCCGCGCCCGTGGTGGTCGACGCGACCAATGCCGGCACGCACGTGACGCCTGTGCAGGCCACGCCGGAGCCAGCGCTCGCGCTGGCGGCCGCCGCTGCGGCCACCTCGGCGCCCGACACAAAGTACCTGGCCATCTCCCTCGACCCGGACGCGCCGTTCCCGTCGTTTCCCTTCTTGGGCCCCATTCTGCACGGCGTCCAGGCTGATCTGACCATCGACAACACCACCGGCGACGCCGCCTGGCGCCCCCTCACATCGTCCACGCCGCCCACCCTCCACTACATCAAGCCCGGCCCGCCGTCGCCGAGCGCCGCCCACCGCTACATCTTTTTGCTCTACAAGCAGCCCGAGGGCCTGGACGACGCCGCCATCCGTGCCAAGATGGGCTGGGCCGCAAAGGGCCCGGCCCTGACGCGCTCGGGGCGGATGCGGTTCGTCGTGGGCGACCTGGAGACGAAGCTGGGGCTGGGCGCGGTGGTGGGCATCAACTACTTTGAGTCGTCGCAGTAAGCGGTAGCGGCGACCACGAGGAGCAGTGGGCGCAGTGGGAGCACAACTGACGTCAAGAGGACGTTTGTTAGCAACGGCAGTGATGATCGCAGCAGGAAATGGACGCGTATGTAGATGAATACCCAAAATCCGGTGGATGCACATTTGACAACAGATAGACACAAAACCACAATCAACACTGTTTTGGCACCGCTTCCCATCAAACCCTGCATGGTGGACAACGACTGGTTGAGAATGCCAGAAAAGATGACGACAGTGGCGGCACATATGGGCGCCTGTGCATAGGGCTCGACAGGCCTGAACGCACCGCGCCCCGCTGTAACTCTCTAAAGTCAGTGCTGGTGTAGAACGCGCTAACCTCGATTGGGCAAAAGTAAACAGCACTTCAACTAACACGAGCGAACACCGCAGACAGTGGCGAGAGAGAAACCACTTGGCAAACCCAAACACGCGATCCACTTACACGGCCGCGGACTCGCAAGGACTCGCAAGGCGACAAGCGAGAGCCTCTCGTCTGCGGGACAGAGAAACAAGGTCGTGCAAAGGCGCGTCTGGAGGTGGACCTCTTCGCGGCTCCGGGGCCCGTTTCGAGACCCTCTCGTTTGACGGGTTTGTTTACTTTGTTATTGTCTCCAGATCTCGTCCTTTGCTCTTGTCTCTTTATTCTGTCTCTCTTCTTTGTCTACTCATTTGTTGTCATATTCTCTCTCTCTCTCGTTGTTTGTGTCACTACATAAACGCGTCTTTCTTCTTTGCTCCTTCCTCGCACTTCCTCGCTCCTCGCTCCTTCCTCTTTCCTCTTTTCTCTTCCTTCCTTCAATTGCAGCCTAATTATCCCCTTTTCTCTTGGTGACCACCTTCTCACCAACCCACTATCGCCGTGTCTTCCTCCTCTCCTTCGTCATGGCTGACCTTCCCATTGCCCTCCGCCGGACGCGTCGCAGCACCTCCTCGCTGTCGGCCGCGTATCATGGTGCCCCAGCTGACATGCCGACACCTCCACTGACGCCGTCCATGTCCACGGCCTCTCCGTCATCGGTTGATTCTGGCCCTTCCACGCCGTCCTCCAGGCAGACGAAGACGCCGTCTCGTCGTCGCATCCCGCAGTCGAGGAAACGCGATGGCACTGCAAAGTCCAAACGCGTCCGTTTCTCTAACCCAGGGCCGAGGCTGGCAGCATCGGACAGCCCAGACACTCCTGTGTCATCGCCGTCCGGCTGCAGCTGTTCCACTGGCTTGACACCCTTCATCCGTCGCACCTCTCTACAGACAGGCCTTCCCGTCAGCGGGGATGTCACGTTCCTGCCTCTGCGGCAGGTCCTCGACGGCCGCGTCCAGCGTCGTCTGCGGCGGAACGGCCTGAGCGAGGAGATGAACAAAGTGTACGCCGAAAAGGCTGAGGCAAAGAAGAAGAGGGCCGCCGAGGCCGAGCGCGAGCTCGAGCGGCTGCGCAAGGCGGTGGCAGAGAAGGACGAGCTGATTGAGCGGCTGGAGGGCAACGCTGGCGACGACACCGTGTTCCAGGACAACGACCGCGTCATGGCCCTGCAGCGGGAGGTCAGCATGCTCCGCCGCCAGTTGGCCAGTGAGCAGCAGCCCCAGCCCCAGGCCATGGACAGCTACGACCGCACGCACAACTGGACCATGGCCGCCCGCGACCCGTTTGCGTCAACCCTCAGCATCGACTACGCCGATCGCAACAGCTACGTCGACAACGGCTATGGCTTTGACGACGACGCCGACGACGACATGACCGAGGCCATGGCCGATGTGGACCACCCCAACACCCCCCACATTATCGACGTCGACGGTGCCGACCTCTTTGGCGACGACACCATGGCCGAGCTGCAGTGCAGCACGCCGAGCCGGTCACGCCGCCAGCAGCCGAACGCCGCCGCCAACAAGGACGACAGCCAGCAGGCCATGTCGTTTGCGCAGTCGTTTCCCACGCCACCGGCAACGAGCCCCATTGTATGGGCAGACGATGCCGAAGTGGGGATGCCCACTGCGCCCACGACGCCGACAACGCCCATCACGCCGCGTATGCACCTCTTTTCAACCCGCCGCATCCTCGCGTCTCCCGTGTCTTCGCCACCCCAGCCACCACCGGCCTCTCACATGGTCGACATGGATGTCCAGGCGGCACTGCCAGATCCCGAGACACAGCACCTTCGCGGCCAGGTCACCGACCTCGTGCGCGCCCTCGCCGACAAGACGGCCGCTCTCGAGGTCCTGTCCAAGGCGCTGGAGGAGCTGTCTCCACAGGAAGAAGAGTCGGACTCTGGCGCCGCCCGTGACGCTTCCGACATTGTCGCCCGCCTCGAGCTCGAGTACCTCACCCCCGGCGAGATTGAACTGCCTCTCACCGCGCCCGCCGCCGCCGTCCTCGATTTGCTGCTGAGCCGTCTGCGCGCGCTCGCTCAGCAGGTCCAGGCCGCCGATGCCCAGATTGACGAGTACCATGCCCTCGAGGGGAGCCTGCGGCAGCAGCTGGGCGCGCGCGTGCAGGCCATGGACGGCATGGCCGCCGACCTCGTGGCAAAGGATGCGACCATTGCCGCCCACGAGGCGACCATTGCCGACCTCAACGTCGCCGTCGACCGCTTCAAGGGCGCAGTGGCCAGCTACGCACGCGACGTGGCGGAGCTCGAGGCGCTGGTGAGCCGGTTGGAGCAGGATGTGCAGCGGGCGACCGCTGAGGCGGCGGACGCCAAGAAGGACATCGCCGCCGCCCAAGCACACGTGGCCAAGGCCCGCCGCGCCGCCGCCACCCACGGCCAGGCCCTGGCCCTCCGCGACGCCCGCGTCCACGAGCTCCGCGGCGAGATTGGCGAGCGCGACGCCGCTCTGCGGGCCGCCCAGCAGCGCGGCCACGAGTCGGCGCGGCAGCTGAGGGAAGAAAATGCGGCGCTGGCCGAGCGACTGGCGGCCGAGACGCAGCGCGCCGCCGCGGCGAAGGCGGCCGTGGCCACCCTGCAGGCGCTGCTGGATGCACCCGAGGACCACAGCAGCAGTAGTGCCGCAAACGCCAACAAGAAGGAAAAGAGAATGTCCCTGGGACGGCGGCTGTTTGGTCGCCGGAGCACAAGTGGTGTGTCGACCGAGGCGTCGACAGGTGCGTCGGAGTCGCAAGGCACCTTGTCTACGCTTCCATCTACGGAAGCAGCGCCCCGGTCGACCAAGAAGCGGCGGCGGTACGACAGTGGCCTGGGCTTCTTGGATGAAGAAGATGCAGGGGACGTGTAACGATGCATTCTTTGTTTGCATGTGTACGGTGTACGGCGTATTTTGCGTCATGTCCTGCCATTTCTTGCCTTTCTTGTCTTACTTGTCTTTCTTGTCTTTCTTGTCTTTCTTGTCTTTCTTGCCAACTTATCACTCTTTAACATATTTTCTTTTGTCAAAATTCATTATTTGTTCTCTTCCGTATCGAATTGTGATATCTGTATGCTATACGCTACCTGCTCCTGTCTGTCCCCTTCCCCCATACCCAACCATCCCGGTGTCGCCTAATATACATACACAAATTCATTGTTCTGGATGTCCGTCAGGTCCTCAAACGCCCGGTCGCCCGTCGGCGCACCGGTCTCGCCCGTCTCGCCCTGCGTGACCATCTCCTGCATCATCCGGTCAGCGTCTTCCGCCGAGAACAGCGACACGTCCAGAATCACCGCGCTCTTGCCCTCTGCCAAGCGCCGCGCCGCGTGCAAGGTGTTCATGATCCGCAGGTAGCCCATCGTCACCAGCGTGAGCACAATCAGCACCACGTACAGCGCCAGGTTGCTGCGCAGGCCGCGCTTGTAGAGCGGCGCCTCGGTCGTCTGGTACAGCTGCGGGCCCACGACATTGCCGACGCACTGGCCAATCGTGAAGATGGCCGTCGTGCACTTGCGCTTAGTGTCGCCGGCGGTGTTTTGGGCGGACCACGAATAGATAATGGGCGTGATGCCCGGGTAGACGGAGATGAGATAGTAGCCCACGAGCAGAGCGGCACGGTGCTCCGGGTCGTGCGGCACGGCCATGAGGACGGCACAGCCGGCAATGGGCGGGAGGCACAGCAGGATGAGGACGGGGCCCTTTTTGCGGATGTAGGTGGCCAGAACCGCACCGCCGACCGTCGCGACGAGCTGGACAAAGCCAAAGGGGATGTTGAACAGGATGGTGTCAAACGAGTCAAAGCCAAACGACTTGACAATGAGCGGGCCAAACGTGGAGATGCCGCCCGAGGGAATGCTAATGGAAAAAATCAGGGCGGTCCAGCACCACGTCTTAATGTCCACCAGCGCCTCGCGCACATGGTCCCAGCGCCACTCGCGCGATAGCACACCCATCTGGTTCAGCCGGAGGCGCTCGACGGCCATGACCTTGTCGGCGTCGTTTAAAAACTTGGCCTCGACGGGCGAGTCCGGCATAAAGATGTACATGACCAGCGAAAAGGCCACCGTGATGACACCAAAGAACAAAAAGATGATCTGGTACGAGTGCAGCACCTGCGAGTGGATGTGGCCCAGGCCGTAGGTGATGAGCGAGCCAAACATGTTGGTGATGCCGTTCATGGCGTACCAGTAGCTGATGCGCACCGTCTGCTCGCGCCGGCGCCACCACATTTGCGTCACGGCAATAAAGCAAGGTGCCACGCAGGCCTCGAACAGGCCCAGAAAGAACCGCGACGCAATCAGGCCCTGGAAGTTGTGCGCCGCCGTCATCGCGGCCAGCGTGGCGCCCCACAGCAGCACAGCTGTCGAGATGAGCTTGCCCACGGGCACCGTGACCAGCAGCCAAGCCACGGCCGGCTGGGCCACCAGCTGCGCCAAGTACACGATCGAGCCGAGCCACGAGTACTGCGTGCCCACAAGGTTCGTGTCCGTAATCAGACCAAAGACGGAGGCGTACGACAGCGTGGCCTTGTCGAGGGCCTGCAGAAAATAAACGACCAGGATGATGGGCAAGATGACCAAGTCAATCTTGCGCAGGATGCGCTTGTTGTCGGCAGGCGACACAACCACGCGCTCACCGCCGCTAGCCCCACCAATCTTGCGGAGCAGCTCGCCGGCAGCATCGCGTCTGCGCGGGCCCTGCGAGTCGAGGGGCGGGGCGGGCTCGATGCCGAGCTGGTTGGTGGGCGCCGTCGTACTGGTCGCTGGCTGTGTGGTGTTCTCCACGGCCTCGATGCCGGGCTTCTGCTGAGCGTCGGCCATGGCAGGAGGTGGTGGTAGTGTGCGTTGGTACGTATGGATGGGTGTTGGTGCTTTTGGATGGTTTAAGGGATGTCTGTTGACGGAAGCGGGTGATGGAAACAGACAAGACGAGATGACGGGGGAAAGGGAAGACAGTAGAAAGATCAACACGAGGGAAACACAAAAATAAAAGTTCAGACAAGATTCAATGGAATAGTCTTTAATTTGTAGGCATAGGGTCGTATGCGCTACGAATGGCACGTTCGGCCCCAATGATAGACAAAATGATAACCGAAAAGTACGAAACAACCTCATCGACTCTCTCTTGTGGCATCAAGGCTAGGTCGCAGGCCATCCATCGACAGTAAGGAAATACAACATTCTCCAAAAGATCTTCCGTTCTCCGTGGGACAATGCAGTCCGAGATGGGGTGGGCTGCGGCTTGGCTATGTGAGATTGGGTGGCGTCTGGGGAAGAGATCGCTTGCTGTACGATTCGTATGGCGTGGAGAAAGATGAGTGAGAAAGATAAAGATGCGGGACTAGAGAGGCTGGGGCACTAGGCTTCCCACTCTCCACTCACTGGGTACCACGACATCCAGCTGGGGTATCTTAACATGGAGTCTGCCTCGGCATTAACATGGCAACTGGGGTGCGGAGTAGACCAACTTAGATCAAAGCACAACAGACATCCATGAATACATGCAAGGCAAAAAAACAAGACTTTAACGTTGCAATTCAAATGCTTTTTGACAGGCGCCACATTTTGACAAAGAGGGTGTTGTCAAACGATGGGGAGAAGAATGGCCAAAGAGGGAGATAACAAAAAGGAGAGTGCCGTTGACCGGGACAGTTACAAGCACCTCTATGATATGTCGTACTCTAACTTGGTCAGGTGCCGTCAGAGTGTACTGGAAAGGTTCGTAGTTGAAGTTGGTTAAGTTGGTTGAGGTTGGTTGCAGTGATTCAGTCGGCCGCCACCGTTGCAACTCTGGAACGTGCGCCACACCACAACCACGGCCTAGCCGGCAAAATGATTAAGCAGCGTGAGGAGGACCCGGATCCGGACGACGCAAGTGATCTGGTTGGGGGTATGTAAACTTCCAGCTTTGAACAGCCAATTCACTGCCAAGTAGAAATAATCGAACAAACACTCCGTACAACGCCAGCAAAACGAGACTATGCTGGCAAGGGGGACTGTGGGGGAATGAGAGAGAAATACAGAATAGACAAGCGCGAAAGGCCGTCGTTTGGGGACCATGGGGAGAACGAGGGCACAAACTGTGGAGGAGACGGACTTGCCATGGGGATGTCGGCTGCGGAGCCGGGGTGAAGTCGGGGAAAAGAGCAGAAAAAACGAGTTTGGCGAGGACAGGGCATGGACCACAGGAATAGCTAGGAACATCGTCGTCGTCTTGTTTATGCACGTCGGTGTGTCTCGGTGTTCTGGACCGAGAAATCGTGACATAGGAAGTGACCGTCCGAATCAGGCAGGGAACTAAAACAGAAGGATGCTCATACATTGCCCGTTCGAGTAAACGACCGTGAAAGGCAAAAGCCAACAAATGGAAGAAGATGACAAGACGGAACTCTCCGGTGCAGGTCGTAGGCTTGTAATCGAATTGGGATCAACAACCGGTGGGATCTTGGAACGGTCACGATGAGTACAAGTGTGGCGCGAGACGGGGGAGGTTGAGAAGTCGTGAGGGGGAGCGTAGTCCCGAAAAGAAAAGCGCGGACAAGGCTCACCGGCAGTCGTCGTTGTTTTGTCGGCTGCGCTTCGGATGCGAGGTTGGCCCAGTCGTGGTGACGAACGACGACAGTTTGAAAAGGGTGAAAATTTCCGAAAACTAAATAGGGGCTGCGAGGCAGAACATCTGTCAAACGGGCATGCGACATTCACCAAAAGAGGAAAGAGGAATCACAACAAACGATGAAGTCTGTCGAGGAAGCTACGCCTGGCCTGGCAGCCTGAATTGTCAACAAAGGAAGTCGCGATTCGCACACCGAGACGACCGAGATATCATGACACGAGAAATGCTAAAAAGGAGACTGTTACAAGATCAATGTGACAGGGACACGAACTAGAACAAAGAAAGGCTCCAGGAAGCGACAATGCGGACGATGCTAATAATCGCGGGTTTTTAAAAGGCCACCAATGTGAGGCTGCCGATTGCGTGGATATCTGGGTTATCTGGGCCATCTGGGCCATCTGAGGTGCCATGGCCCTCGGTCAAGGAACATGAGGCATGGTACAAAGTGGATAAAGCGCGTGTTTTGATATTTTGACCTGATTCCAGCGAGGATCGTGACGCGGTGACCGTCGTGAGCGCAGAAGTGGTTTGCCAAGAGTTACGACGATGTGAGTTAGTGGGTTCCCAGGGCCTCGGAAATCTCCGCTAGGCGTGTCCGTCGCTTTCCAGCAGGCGCTAACGCACCTAAACCCCAGGGGCTACGCCTTGTAAGCCTGGTCCTGGAAAAACACTCATCTGCCGCGGGGCGACTGCCGACTTACAGAGCATTCCGACGTTGTATTTCGGACTGTACCACGCGCTAGCACACCCAACACCCACTAAAGCCGGCCCAAAACCACTGAACTCGAGTAATTACCGAGTGCACCCAAAACAAGACGAATAAGCTCCCTCATCAATATGGAATACTAAAAAGTGTAAGAGCACGGACGTTCATAGGCGGAACCATCATCAGGCGTTGTACGAAGATGTAAAATGAATGCGAGCTGACACATCTATTATCAACACAAAGGGCCCGCAGTTAAAGAAAGCCAAGTAACAGAACGCCGAGCCCAAAGGCGTGAAATCGTTAATTACTGGGCACATAAAACGGCGGTATCAGCCCTAACAGATACATCTCTGAGCCTCAGAAAGAGCACTGCGCCAGGGCACAGTCAGAAACCCAATCGTGGCCTTGTGACCACATCGAGCTGTCGATTTTGACCGCCCAAGTACCAGACAACGGGAGAGACTGAATACTGTGTAGAAAAGACGCGGGATCACCCACTGTCCAGCTGTCAGCTCCCCGCACGCTGCATTTCCCCTCAAAACCCATCGCTTCACGTGGGGAGGCCCAGCCAACCACAGGTCGCCGTCGGGCCTGAACGACCTCCGTCTGGCGTAGACCTCTTTCCTCTTTGGGCAACTCCAACGAACTACTTGGACCAGAAGCCAACGCTGTCTGACGCTCAACTCTTGAACTGCGTCTATTTTCAATATCCATGACACACAACAAAGCCAATGGCCAACTAGAGGTGCCGATGAAGGTAGCTGGTTTGCGTGTCTTCTCCAACAAGACGCAGCGAAGCATGCACGGGTTGGAGAGGCCGTTGCTGATGGCCACCGTTTTGTACAGGAGGAAGCAGAAAGAAAGATGCATTTAACTTGGATTTACTTTTGCTCATCGTTCTCGTCTACTCAGGAAAGCAGCTTCCGCCTGTCATGTCCCCAATCTGTCCCTCGTCCTCATGTGCCTCTGGCGCTGATGCTTCAGTCCAATGGAGCAACATTTTCCAAGCATTATTAAAAAAAAAAAAACGCATGTAGAAAAAGCACCAACAAAACTACACACTACACAAACTAAGCACACCATCCCGCGGGATGGTCAACAATGGCATCACTAGACCGCGTCTTTTCCAGCCACAATTCGTGCAATCGTCGTGTCATCCTTACTGCCTTCTCCGCTTACGGACCTTGTGCTTCAAATGTCTCCTGCCTAGAGAGCACGGCTGGTCCTCTCCACGTACTTTCTCCGCTTGTTAGCCACCGTCGCCACGAGCTCATCTACAAGCTTCAACAAATGACCAGCATGCTTGTACACTCCTTGTACTCTAACAACGCCCTTCTCAACGTAGTCAATATTCCCCCATTTAGAGTATTTTCTTCCAATGTCCTAACATTTTGGCCGGCCTCGTCCCCTCGTCCGCCCGTCTCACTGCGGCCTCGGCTTCGCTACATCTCGCCCCGTCCCAACGACACATCGCGCCCGTCATCGGTCCACAAGAGCTACCCTGGCTTACACACTGTAATCGTGCCTTTTCCAGGGCCTCTTGTCGAGTCTCGTCACGTCTTTTTCTGTAGTCATTGTAGCTTCACCACGATCCCTCCTTCCCTTATAATCGTGCTTTCTGGAGTTCCTTCCGCTGCCATTGCCGGCCCTCGCTCGTTCCATTCGTACTTTCTTCGTCTTCTCTCCCGTACCCCCTTTTTCTCATCCTTCCCCCTCCCCAAGTCGTCACAATGCTGCATCAGTTTGAAAACACTCCCCAGCAGTATGCTCTGCAGGAGCCGGCCTCGGCCACCGCTCCGTCGGTTGCTCTGCGCTCGACCGAGGCCGTCAACGGCAACCACTTCGATTTTACCTTTGAGGCCGTCCGCCCGGGCGTCTTCCGCACGACCTTTGCCTCCCCAAGCCACCCGCTTCCGCCGTTTCCCAGTGCCAAGCGCGTTGAGGCAAGCTCCTCTGTTGGGGCACCCAAGACCTCGCTTGACGCTGCCAGCAAGACCTTCTCCGTCGTCTCCGCCGATGTCACGGCCACCGTTGACTGGTCCGGTGCGCCCATTGTCTCTCTGACCCGTGAGGGCGTCGCCAGGCCGCTGTACCGGGACATGGCCTACCGCTCGTATGTCGTCGACGGCCCCGGCGTGGCCCACTACTCCTCCTACAAGAAGGACGACCTCTACGTCGGTCTCGGCGAAAAGGCCGGCCCCATGAACCTGGCCGGCCGCGGCTTCCAGATCACGGCCAGCGATACCTTTGGCTACGACGCCCTGCGCACCGACCCGCTCTACAAGCACATCCCCTTGCTGCTGCACGTCAGCCGCCCGACGCCCGCGCAGCCCAGCGGCCAGTGCGTCGGCCTGTTCTCGACGTCGCACAGCCGCGGCACCTGGAACGTCGGCTCCGAGATTGACGGCATGTGGGGCCACTTCAAGGTCTACCGCCAGGCCTACGGCGGGCTCGAGCAGTACCTGCTGGTGGGCCACAGCGTCGCCGAGGTCGTGCGCCTGTACGCCGACGTCGTCGGCTACCCGCTGCTGACGCCGCGCTACATGATGGGCTACGTCAGCGGCGGCATGAAGTACACCATGGAGGACGAGCCGCGCGCCGCCGACGTCATTGTCGACTTTCTCGACAAGTGCGCCGCCCACGACATCCCCGTGTCGGCCTTCCAGATGAGCTCCGGGTACACCATTGCCGAGCAGCCGCCCAAGACGCGCAACGTCTTCACGTGGAACTACCACCGGTTCCCCGACCCGCGCGCCTTCACGGCCGCTTGCCACAAGCGCGGTGTGCGCCTGCTGGCCAACATCAAGCCGTACGTGCTGGCGAACCACCCGGCGTACCCTGGCCTGAAGGCGGCCAATGCCTTTTTCAAGGACCCCAGCGCCCCCCACAAGGACAAGGACGGCGACGACGATCTGCAGACCGGCGTTGCCCGCCTCTGGAGCGCCGGCGGCGGCGAGAGCGGAGAGGGCAGCCACATCGACTTTACGAGCAACGCGGGCTTCCATTGGTGGTACGACGGCGCCATGGCGCTCAAGGGCGTGGGCATCGACGCCATGTGGAACGACAACAACGAGTACAACATTTTCAGCGACGACTGGGAGTGTGCGCTGGAGACGGTGCCCATACCCGCGTCCCTCACGAGCCGCAAGATTGGTCTGTGGGGCCGCGCCATGCACACGGAGCTCATGGGCAAGAGCTCGTACGACGCCTGCGTGGCCGCCGTGCCCGACGAGCGCCCGCTGGTGCTGACCCGCTCGGCCACCGCCGGCACCATGCGGTATGCCTGCTCGTCGTGGAGCGGGGACAACGTGACCAGCTGGGACGGCATGCGCGGCGCCAACGCCATGTCTCTGAATGCTGGTGTGTCGCTGCTGCAGTGCTACGGCCACGACATTGGCGGCTTCGAGGGCCCGCAGCCCACGCCCGAGCACCTGGTGCGCTGGGTCCAGATCGGCGTGCACCAGCCGCGCTTTGCCATCAACTGCTACAAGACCTCGGAGGACGACAACCTCGTGGGCGGCGTCATCGAGCCCTGGATGCACCCCACGGCCACGCCCCTCGTGCGCGCCGCCATCAAGCGCCGCTACGAGCTCGTGCCCTACACCTACTCGGGCGCCCTCCAGTCTCACCTGACGGCCCTGCCCTTGATGCGCTGGACCGGCTGGGGCTACGAGACCGACCCCGAAGTCTGGACCGCGCCGCTCCTGGCGGGCGACACCCAGTTCTGGTTCGGCGATGCCCTCCTTGTCGGCGGCGACGGCATCTATGTGCCTGGCTCGTCCGAGGCGCGCGTCTACCTGCCCATGGGCGATGCGACGGCCGCCGGTTTCCTAAACGTCAACGCCCCCCACGAGTGGCTGCCCGCCGGCCAGTGGCACACCATCAGCAGCGCCTGGCACGCGTCCATCCCCGTGCTGGCCCGCTGCGGCAGCGCCGTCCCCGTCGGCCGCAACCTGCCCACGACGAGCCGCAAGGACGGCCGCCACGCCGAGGCCGAGCAGACCGAGTTCCCTAGCATCGCGCTGGACGACTGGCGCGCTGTCGAAGTGTACCCGGCGCCAGGCACTGTCTCGGGCGGCGCCGGTGGTGCCAAAGATTCTACCTTCACAACCACCTGGCTGGAAGACGACGGCATCTCGGCCGAGGGCCGCTCGCCCATCTACGAGATGTCCGTGACATACACGCCCTCGGCCGGCGCCATCGAGGTCGCCGCCTCGGCCGCCCCCAAGGTGGCTTCCACGGCCCAGGGCGACGACGTCCCCAGCTCGTGGGCCCCGCTGTGGTTGTCCAACGGCCTCGACGTCATCTTGCCGGTGGGCGAGGAGCGCGTGGTCAAGGCCGCGGACGGCCAGACGGTCGAGGACAAGGGCCGCGACACCAAGGGCCGCCGGGTGTACCACATTGCCGTGAAGGCGTAGTTGCATCCGAAAAGGAAGACGTCAAAATCAAGGGGAAAAAAGGCAAACGGGAAGAATCATAGACTTGTTTTTTTCGGCTATGTACAAAGAAAAAATGTATACAATTAATGGAGCATAAATAACGCCCTACAAAGCGTAGACGGCCAAAACGGCTACGCCACCGATCCCGAGCAGGGCCATGGTTGCCCGTGTACCGGCGGGCGGCGCGGCCCCGGCCGCTGGTGTGTTTTTGCTGCCATCGGTGGCTTTTGCGGCACCGCTGCTCGTCTGTGTTGGCGAGCCCGTCGCGGTGGCGTCGGTCAACAGCCCGGCAATCTCTGTCGACACCACCGACAGTACCGTCGACTCAGCCGTCGTCGCCTGTGCACAGATGCCCGGTGCCAGCGACTTGACGGCGTTCAGGTCGGAACTGTTGCAGCTGTTGTCCGGCCCCAAGAGAATGCAGGCGCCGAGCTGGGCCGCCAGGGCCGAGGCGCCGGAGCCGGAGCCCGAGGCGCTACGGCAGACGCATGTGAGGTCGGTGGCGGCACAGCCGAGGTTAGTGGAGGCGCGGGCCAAGCAGGAGAGGGCGCATGGCGGGATCTGGGCGATGAGGTCGGGGAGGGAGGTGGCGGTGGTGGATGTTTTTGTCGTTGGTGCCGTTGACGATGACAATGATGATGAAGCTGCTGATGCCACGGAAGCAAAGACGATGGGTATGGAGAGCCTCATTTTGAGGAGGCCGCTGTGACGTAGTGATTGCTCTGTGAAGCCTCTCGAGCGTGAAGGCCGAATGTCGTAATTTAAAATAAGTAAACATAAGTAGGCGTATGTAGAAGGTGTATAAGAAATTAAGTTGTTGCGGCTGATATGCCAAAGGCTTGCTGGATGAAGCGTATCATGAAATGAAGAAAAAAAAAAAAAAAAAAAAAAAAAAAAAGAAAAGTGAGAGACCCAGCTTGATGAGAACGTCAAAATGGCGGCAGGAATATTAAAAGGATAAAAACATTAAGGGTCACTAAGAAGAAAAGATAGGCACCTTTCGGGAAGAGTCAAGATGCTATACGATGAATGAGAATGAAATAAATTCAGTTAAAAGCAAAGGAAAAATGACGTGAAAGTGAATTCAATAAAAATGATAAAGAAACCGACACATTCGAGAACGAATAAGATAACGACGCCCGTCAGCCGTAAAGCACGTCTTGGGGGTCGCGACGAATACGCGACCTGGTGGTGGAAAAGCCACACAGGATGACAAGGCGTAATGATGCAGGACGATTGCCAGATAAGGCAATGCAGAGGGGCCAAGGGAACAGTAGAAAAATAAGACCCGTGCCAAAAGAAGTCTAAACAGCAAAAGCACCAGGAGCTGAAAATAGACGCTGGCTCAGCCTCGCTCCCGAACAAAAATCGAAAAAGGAAAAATGGTGTAAGAGGCAAGGTGGGATAGTGAGAAGAGGAAAAAAGAAAAAGGAGAAAAGATAAAGTTTAAAAGCCAATTGAAAGGGAAGAGACCTTGACACAATAAAGAAGACAGAAAAATATAGGGATGCAAAAATACAGGAATACAGGAACAGCATCCCCTCTTCTTCCGCTCTCTCTCCCTACACACACCTTTGCAGAATCTCACGCTGGCGTACTCCTCGCCTGTCGCCTCTCGCTCTCTGCATTGCCTTCCTTCCCAAAACGGGACGGGATCTTCTTCCGGCTGCCATGAATAGAAAAACAGGAAAAGCATCAACGATACAGCGCGGCGATGCTATAGTGTTCCTTGATTTTGCCTCGTTGCACTGCACTACCCTTTCCTTATCTGCCTTGCTCCCTCTCTCGCCTTTCCTCCGTTCCCCAGGCGTGCGTCAACTCGACGGCGCAGTAGATCGGGATCGCGCCACTTAAAACACGCCGTCAGGTAGCTCTCTCGTTTTATCTATATTTCTGTGCTTCCGCTCCGACTTCTGAAACGAGGTCGCATAGTCCGCCGAGCCCGTCTTTCGCCATAGAGTACGTACGCTAGGCTGTTTTTCATCAATCTCCAGGCGTTCGTGAACCACTTGCGCAACCTTTCTCGACTGTTTCATGGGAAATACGAAAAACAAAACAGGAAAAAAGAGAAGATCGCCAACAACGGACATCCGGCATAGGAAACATCTTCCTTTCCCATGACGGCCCTTTTCTCGCTCCATTGACAATCACAAAATTCCAAGCAACACGACCACATCAAACAGATTACTCCGGCAAACGCTGCTCCGACAAACAGCTTCAATCCCCCCCTTTCCCACTCCTACCATCGTTTGTACACGTCTCGCGTGATGTTCACGACCGTAAAGAACCACCGGCTGCTCTCGGACAGGTGCACGATGCGGTTACCGACCTGCCGCCAATTCACCCGCCGCGTCACCAGCGCGGCTTTCACGAACAAATCCGAGCTGGCGCCAATCGCCAGAAGTGCGGCGCCGGCGACGACCAGTATCGTGCGGGCCGTCGCCGACAGAGCCGGGGCGTCAAAGATGAGCCACCTAACCGTTAGACTAGAAAAACGACGGCGAAGAAAAGCACAAGCCATCACAGGACAACTCACTTGGAAGGCTGTCCAAGGCCAACACCGACCAATGCGCTCAGCGGAATCTTGCCGTCACTGGAAGCCATGACAAACGATGCAAGGGATTGGCGTATAGAGATTTTGTGCTGTTTACACAGCACACATTTGGTTTCCGCACATTCAATGTACAGAGATGGCACACGCTGGAACCACTGCACAGCGTCGCCAGGCAGCAGGCGCTCACCGCCCTGGTCTTTTTATCTGGTGATACTGCCCAGACCCATACTGCACCGTTCACGGTCAGACATGTCTGGACACCTGCAGCGAAACGAAACAGCCCCAATGACAAACCGTTGACGAGACTCTCCTGGCCCCCACAGATCCTCAGCAATCACACCTGCCAGCTCGTCGTTCGGTAGACCCGCCCCAGCTCATTCTGCATACACTTTACCCTGGCGAGCCTGGTTTCCTCTCGAGCCCTCTCCCAGAAACAACATCTGCCGACGCGTCGTTGGACCGTATCGCCAAGTAAACTTGCGAACTGGTGAGGCCAAACCTTGTTGACTTTTGGCGTCAAGTGAGTAAAGCCATCTACAGTAGATGCACTGTATGGATACTGTATTGGAGCGGCCTCCGCCTTTCGCCACTGGCAATCCTGACGTAATCAAACTAGCAAACTCTGAACTCGCTCTGCGCCGGGATTAGTCATATAACCTCTCCTGGCCAAACCGGTGTCCCACCTTCAGTAACAAAAAGGCCGCCTCGCACACTCTGATTGGCTGCAGCGTTCAGCTTAGCCTAGCAACCGCGTTGTTTGCCTACGGCCGGCCCTGTTGCTATGACGCATGAGCAAAAGGCCTGCAAATGAGGGGCAAAACTGGAAGCCGTTAGGTGGGAGCACCTGCCAATTTAAAATAAATAAGAGGGACGGTGCCGTCCACGACACTGCTCTCTGTTCGGGAAAGAACCACCACCCACTTCGTCCCCACAAGCAAAAGTAAATAAGGGAAGGAGCGACCAAAAATTATTGTGATTGTAAAGTAAAATAAACAATAATTAAAAATTGGTCGAACGGGGGCATCGTGCAAACAGGCTTTGCTGTCCTTTTTCTCTGCTTTTGGTCTCTACTTGTTCTCTACTTCTGTCTCTCCCACCCTCTGTCTGCCTCTTGCAATCAAGGCTGCGCGTGTGTGTCCCCTCCAATCCAAGACAAGATAGGCCCATCCGTCGTCATTGTCCCGCCCTTCGCCCTTTCCTCTTTGACGGGCGCTCCTGCCAAACGGCCAGCCTTTACTTACCCTTGACGCAAACCACATTTCATTTCTCATCTCCATTCTTCATCCATCTCTTTTTTTGGGTGCGTTCTCTCTTGCACTCTCGTTTTCGCGCACTCACTGTAGGCTTCTGGCATATCGCAACCCTGCTCTCGAAACGCATCTCACGCTTCCACGACCTCCCTTCCTCCCTGTTTCCGTGCCCGCACTGCACCGCGGGCCCCTTCCCAAAGCATGTTTGTGCTACGGAATGGTACGTCTTCTGTTTCTTTTTATTTTTTGCACTTCTTGCACCTCCTCACTCCCCAACACGTTACTGACCATCGTCTCGCTATAGCTGCCAAACTCCTCTTCGGCTCGGGCAGCCAAGAGTCCATGATCGAACTGCCCCAGGGCCAGCTCTACCTCGTCCGCCCCCTCTCCCCCAAGGGCTACTCCGAACTGCTCTTTAAAGACGCCGCCGCCCGCATCCGCCGCACCGCCCAGGACTTCCAGTACCAGCTCGTCGTCCAGCGCGTCTACGAGGAAGGCGAGGCCGAGCTGCTCGCCGACGAAGAGGGTGAAGACGCCGAGACAGACCCGCTCGCCGCCGAGCGCGACGAAAAGACCTTTTTGCTCGACGAGGCTCTCGAATTCCGCGTCGAGAAGCGCGACGAGGACAGCGCGGAGCACGTCCTGTGCTGGCGCGACCTGACGGGCGACGCCGGCGACGTCTACGAGTTTGTGTGCGACCGCAGCACCACCCACGCCGGCCTGGTCCACCAGTTTGAGCTCGCCGCCAAGCAGTGCCAGTACGAGCGCAAGTACCGCAAGCCCTACACCACCGCCACCGACGAAGACCTGCTGCAGTTCGAGTTTGCCGGCAAGCTGATCCCGCCCGCGAGCCCGCTGCACAGCCCCTCGCTGGCCCGCTCCATTGCCTCGACCGACTCAATGCTCGCAGGTGCCGGTGTCGGCACCACCGTGATCGACACGCCGACCAAGGCGCCTTCCAAATCCAAGACGGCCGTGCCAGCAGCAACCCCCGCGGCACCACCAGCCGATCCGGCGGAGACGTCGGCTGGCACGGCCGCCGCGGCGCTCAAGACCAAGGTCGGCGACGCGCCCGAGGCCAAGGAGATCTTGGCCGCCGAGCTCGCCGAGCTGCACTTTTTCGACTTCCCCTCGGGCTCGTTTGTGCTGCAGGACGCGTCGGTCACGGCCATTGTCAGCGAGACCGGCAACTGGCAGTACTGGCTGCAGGTCGCGAGCAAGGACCGCGATTGGCTGGGCGTGCCCGTGGTGGCCGACATCAACCCGGTCTTCAACTTTGAGTTCCTCAGCTTCATCTTCAACCAGTTCACCGCCGACGGCACCGCCTACTCGTGGCTGCTGCGCTTCAAGGACCAGGCGACACTCGAGCGGTTCCAGGAGGGCTTGCTGCGTGCCTTGTGGGAGCAGCTCAACGAGGTCAAGTGGTCCAAGATCAAGGACAAGGAGCGCGATTATGTCGCCGACGCCTTTGCGGACCTGGCCATGACGGACGTTCCCGAAGACGAGGAGGACGAGGAAGAAGAAGAGGCGTCTCATACGGAAGAGGACGAGGATGAGGACGCCAATTGGCCAAGGAGCGAGCACTACGACACTGACGAGGAGGCCGACGACGTGGACCTTCATCCCCGCGACAAGTCCACCAACAAGTCGCTCGCCGTTGGCTACAAGCACGACCGCTCCTTCGTCGTGCGCGGCTCGCAGATTGGTGTCTTCAAGCACACGCCCCAGAACCAGCTCGAGTTCTCCACCAACATCTCCAAGATCGAGACGCCCGGCGGCAAGCTGTTCAGTCCCAAGAAGGTCATGCTGCACAACGAGGATCGTAACATGATCCTGCAAAATGACACCGACCCCAACAAGCTGTACCGCATGGATCTCGAGTACGGCAAGGTTGTCGACGAGTGGAACGTCCATGAAGACATTCCGGTTGTGACGTTCGCGCCCGAGAACAAGTTTGCCCAGATGACCCACGAGCCCACGTTCCTCGGTGTGTCGCACAACGCCCTGTACCGCGTCGACCCGCGTCTCGCCGGCTCCAAGCTGGTGGACTCGGAGCTCAAGCAGTACGTCTCCAAGAACGACTTCTCGGCGCTTGCCACCACGGGCAAGGGTCACATTGCCGTTGCCTCCAACAAGGGCGACATCCGCTTGTTTGATCGGCTCGGCATCAACGCCAAGACCCATATTCCCGCCCTTGGCGAGCCCATTCTGGGTTTGGATGTCTCGGCCGACGGCCGCTGGATCCTGGGTACCTGCCGCACCTACCTGCTGCTCATTGACGCGCTGCAGTCGAGCGGCAAGAACGAGGGCCGCCTTGGCTTTGAGAAGTCGTTTGCCGCCGACAGCAAGCCACAGCCGCGCCGTCTGGCCCTGACACCGGAGCACGTCGCCCAGTTCGCCCACGAGACCGGCAAAGGCGTCACCTTTACGCCTGCCAAATTCAACACGGGCGAGGGCGCCGAAGAGACCAGCATCATCACCGCCACAGGCCCCTATGTCATTGAGTGGAGCCTCAAGAAGGTCCTGCGCGGCAGCAAGGCCCCCTACATGATCAAGCGCTACCGTGACGACGTCAAGGCCGACGACTTCCAGTACGGCACCGACAAGAACATCATCATGGCCCTGCCTCACGAAGTCAACATGGTCGACAACAAGTCGCTCAAGCGGCCCACGCGCGAAAGCATCGCCGGCGCGGCTCTCGCCGGCGCCGGCGGCAGCGGCGGTCGGCGGAGCGGCGGCAGCCGCATCTCGGGCGTCAACAGTGGGCGCTACAAGCTGGGCAAGGACGACGTTGTGGACTCGCCATACTAGGCCCGGTAGGGTCGAAGCATGCTCTTGGGTGGGGTTTTTGGGCGTTCCGGAATGCGTTTTACGGTCTCGTCAGTTTCTTGTCTATGTCGTTGATTCTTTCCGTTGTGTTTGAAGGTTGTTGCTACAGGCCTGCCTTGTTTGATCTTTTCTGCCATGTCTTTCGGTTCGCTTCGTTTTCGATTTAGTCGGACCCTATTTTGTCTCTTTTGTTTTTATCTGCCCTTCTTTGATACCTCAGTTTCGCAAATAATATAAAAACTCAAAAAAAAAGGAAAATGAGCCGTGATGCCTTTGTATCGTTTCTACTTATACCACAGTAGATAGAGTATGTATACCAATGAAATTTCTTAACAAAAAATGAAACCATCGTAGCGCGTGTCAGGAACTAGATAAATGCGGTTCGTATATTTCGAGGATTGGTCGCCTTGGACGGCAAGATGAAACTATAAAAATGTAATACACTTGCAATGAAAGTATGAAAAAATGAAGCAAAAGCAGCAATATCCACATGCAAACGCCCGTAGCTTGTCTTTGTTGTTTCCGTCGTTCGCTTGTGTGTTGTGTATGATGAGAGATTCCGTCCTCGCAAAACAAGCAACCAAACTAACAAGAACAAAAACAAGAAACAAATAAAAAGAAATCAAAATCAAAATACCAAAGAGAGAACCCGATTCGTCCAGCCTAATAAAGTTGTCCCATATTCTGCGTCGTCACCCTCACGCCTTTTTCCTCGTTTGTTTCTTTCTCGAATCGCTCCATTACGCCCTTATTGGTCTCCCGACTTGACGGCCCGCAGCTCCGACACAAAGCTTTGGCCCCACCACTGGCTCGTGTACTGGTAGACGTACCGCCGCAGCTTCTGGAAGTTGCCGTCCCGCTGCTCGGCCGGCATCGTCACCGCCGTGTAGATGGCCTTGGCCACGTCCTCGGTGTTCCACGGGTTGATGATGAGCGACCCGTTGAGGCTCTGCGCGGCGCCGGCAAACTCGGACAGAATCAGCACGCCGTGCCGGTCGTTTTGCGCCGCCACGTACTCGTAGGACACGAGGTTCATGCCGTCGCGCGTCGACGTCACCAGGCACACGTCCGACACCGCGTACAGCGCCGTCATCTCCTCGAAGCTCACGCTGTGGTACAGCCAGTGGATGGGCATGTACTCAACGGTGCCAAATTTGCCGTTGATGCGGCCGACCAGCTCGTTGGTCTCCTTCCAGAGGTCGCGGTACTCGTCGACGTCCTGCCGCGAGGGCACGGCCACCTGGACGAGCACAATCTTGCCGACCCACTCGGGGTGCTCGGTCAAAAAAAGCTCAAACGAGTGCAGCTTCTGCGGCATGCCCTTGATGTAGTCGAGGCGGTCGACACCGACGACGACGCTGACGCCGGCAAACTTCTTCTCGAGCTGCTGAATGCGGTCGAGCACTTTGGGGTTTTGGAAGGCATCTTCAAACTTGGTGACGTCGATGCCAATGGGGAAGGCGCCGACGGTGACAAAGCGGCCGTTCAGCTCGGCGCCGTTGGGCAGCGTGTTGACGCCCAGGATGCGCGAGCAGCTGCTCAAAAAGTGGCGCGCGTAGTCGTACGTATGGAAGCCGACCAGGTCGCAGGACAGCAGGCTCTTGAGGATGCCCTCGCGCACGGGCACGGGCAGGATGCGGAACATCTCGGACGAGGGGAAGGGCGTGTGCAGGAAGAAGCCGATGCGGACGTTCTTGCGCTCGGGGCCCAGCTCCTCGCGCAGCATCTGCGGCAGGACAAAGTGGTGGTAGTCGTGGACCCACACAATGTCGCCGTCCTGCACGTTCTCGGCCATGGTCTTGGCAAACTCGCGGTTGACGCGGTTGTAGGCCTGCCACGACAGCTCGTCAAACGTCACGTCCGACGGGTGGTAGTGCAGCAGCGGCCACAGGATGGAGTTGGAGAAGCCGTTGTAGTGGCGGTCGATGTCGTCCTTTGACAGGAAGACGGGCACGGCAGAAAAGTCCTTGGCGAGCGAGTCGATCATGGGCTTGCGCTCCTGCTCCGGCACCTCGAGGCCCGGCCAGCCGTACCAGGTAAAGTTGACCTGCTTGGCCATGCCCATGATGCCGGTGACAAGACCGCCCGAGCTCATAGAGAAGTCGTACTTGCCATCGCCCTGGCGCTTCACCGTGAGGGGCAGGCGGTTGGATACGAGGATCAGGTTGGCCTTGCTGCCGTCGTCGGGCTTCTTGGAAGGGTCCATGGCAGAGGCTGCGGCGGTTGTTGACTCGATCGGCTGTTGTGTTGGCTGCGTGGGCCCCGTAACTTCAACGTCTTCGTCGGCGGCGACCGTGGCGGAACCGGTGCGCTGTCGGGTTCGCGGAGGCTGCACGGGGGATGAAGAAAAGGCAGTGTCGGCGAACTGGCTGCTATCGTTGTCGCTTCGAGGATGCTTGGGAGGCATCACGATGTCCTGGGCCCAAGCCAAAAGCCAGTTAGTGGGCTGCTTAGGCTCTTTATAATTGGCACGGATTATTGTGACCACCCCCAGCAAAAACCGGCCGGCCAGCAAAGGGCTAAACAAGCGCAGGAAACGTGCTCCGTAAGTCCACTCGCAAAGCTCCAAGAGCGGCACCAGCCAAGCCAGGCTTGCTATTGGGCAGTTCTGGGCGGATTGGGTCGATTTGGGGCGATTTGGATGCTTTTGGTTCCCGTTTTTTGGCGGGGCTTCGTGGCGTGTAAGACACGACTTTGCCTCTTTGCTTGCTCGCTGCGTGCAGGCGGCGCACTCCCGGTGCTATGCATAGAAGGGCCGCAGCGGGCTGGGGGTGCTGCAGATCATAAGCGTGGGCATCAGCTGCATGTCAGGGCGGCATAGAATTCACGATATTTTGTTCTGATTATGAGGTGTTTACGGGTTCTCCTAATTTTGGCTTTATTTTGACCGCTGAGAAGGAAGGGCACACGTACGAAGTAACGAACCCGACAAAGGCAGGAGCGAAGGGAGGAGTGGCTTTGTGTGGGCAGATACTGCGAGGCGGGGCAAAGGGCCAACCACAAGGAGCAGAATCGACCAGCGACAAAAAGAACGCTGCACGCGGAAAGCGCACGCGCCCCACCAACGACGTAATACGTTTTTCTACCACACAGCACAGAAGCGCCCAAGCGGCAAGACCTCTGTACCGTTCCTGCCCGGTCTCGACCATTCCACAGCTATCAAAATTGTGCACGGAAGGTGCGATGGGTGAATAGCAGTCTCCTGTCAATTTAGCTTGGCAGCAGTGATTTGTGGCAGCTTCTCTGACGGCGAGGCATCGGCATCTCTTGGCCACACAACGCCCCGTCGTTCCACACCCTCTCGCGATGAAAAGCTAAGGGCGCGATTTTACGTGGGCATTTTTCCACCGCATTGGTACGACACTTTGTTCCTCCCGTCCTTTCACTGTATATCCTCTCGTCTGCCGCTTGGATGTCACGATAAATTCTCGTTCGGCCCTGTTCCATCGCGCCTTCTCCCGCCGGTGATTTGCTCGCGTTCACTCTTTCCGGCTTTGGTTTCCGCTGTGCCTTCCCTTCGCCCCCAGCGTCGTCCCCTCCATCATTCTTTCCCCATCATATGTTGTATTGAAGACTAGGCCCGGGCCTTGCTTTCCTATTTCGATGACATGCAGGGAACTGTAGCCATAGGCCTTCTGCGTGCCTATTTATGGCGTAGCTCAACAAATCGCTCACGACATGCTATCCGTCTAGTATAGCACTTGGCATGAGAGCTTCATTTGTGATTTTTTTTAAAAAAAAATAATAAATACATAGATAAGATCATAGATATTTAAGAAGAGTGCAAAGTTGGGTATCTTCATTTTGAGATGAAGCAAAAAGTCATAAAATTTCATCAATGGTATCAAGAGGTATAATATGTAACCGAAAAGAACAACGAACAGGTCATTTTCAAGCACCTCTCCTCCCGCACACGCGCCCGTCATTTTCATCCAATCCGATCTGCACATGGGCAATGAACTGAAGTAGGCTTTGGCTGCCGCTTTGGGTCGTCACGACTCAGCGCGAGACATTGTCTTCGTCAAGACTTACACGTGATGTATCACGTGGAGTGAATGATTATGTAACATTTTAGCGTGTTAACGGCGCGTTCCCTTGCTTGCATTTGACCCAAACAAACCTTGAGCTTGAAGCTTCACCAAAAGCTGGGCCTCGTGCATTTGTCTGTCGGGACTCGATCGACAGCGCCCCAACACGACTATTACTAGTCCCCTGGACGACGTACCAGATTTGTTCGAGAAACCACGATAATTATATTGCTTTTGTGTATATATTCTCGACTTGCGGCGCCCAGAGCTGCTTCCACGACGGCCTCCCAACATTTATTTGACTCTTACCACTCCCAAACACCGTTGCATTCCCGCTGCGCCTGACCTCCCGAAAATGGCGGTCTTCGGACAGCGTGTGCGGCAGACGCCTCACAATGTTCAGTGCCTGTTCGTTCTAACCAAAGTCCCTTTTTTACCCCTTGCGTCGAGGCAGTTGTTGCTAACCTCGTTGCTCGCCCCCAACACAGATATGACCTCGACAGGCGCGTGTACTGCGTCAAGACCTACCCCGTCCTCTCGCCCCAGGGTGTCAACATTGTCATCTGCGGCCACGAAAATGGCGTTTCGATTGTCTGGCGTGGCGGCCGGCGTCTCAAGGATGTGCGGAAGCCTGACCCAAAGCCGGCTGCGGCAACCAACGCCGACTCAGTGATGATTATCGACTCCGACGACGACGACGAAGACGCCGCGAAAGCCTCGTCCGCGACGTCTGTGGCGAACTTTGTCGACAAGCCCGTGTTTGAGGACGCGCCCGCCGACACAAACGCAGGCGGGTTTGCCGAGATCGTGCAGACACTGGATCTGGCCCTGAACCAGGCCGTCCTCAGCGTGGCTGTTCTGCCCATTGCACCCTGTGCAGCCAACGAGGCCGAGCCCAGCATTCTCCAGGAGAAGATGGTGTTTGCCATTACGTGCCGTGCGACAGCCGACGTGTTTGTCGTCACGCTGCCTCTGACACCACCCTCCAACGAGAGCAAGAACCGGCCGCAGCTGCGGACGAACCTGGTTGCCGGCAACTTGGGCCGCGGCGCGTTTGGCGACGTGCTCATTCCTCTAGGCGGCCAGAACCGGCGTGGCGAGGGCGTGGCGATCACTCTGGCCAAGCAAAAGACGGCACCGGCGCCTGCACCGTCGTCTGGCGCTGTGTCCCGTTCCGCATCCGCAGCCACCACGCCGCCGGCGCGCGTGATTGTGGCAGTCTATGCACGTGAAGCATCCGGTACGCTGCGGCTATGGGATGTCACGGTGGGCGCCAAGCGTGCGGCTTCAGAGCGGCCGATCGAGCCTTTTCAGACCGAGTACCTGCCCAGCCCTCTCACGAGCGTGGCCTTTAACCCGACGCACCCGACGCAGCTTCTTGCTGTCGACCCGCAGCGCGCCGTGCGCATCTACGACTTCACCATCCCTGCGATCCCGTCGGACGACATGGCCGAGGGTGCCTACCCGCCGCAAGGCTCGTGGCTGCTGTCCCTGTACCCGCCCTTTGCCCGTGGCGGGCTCACGCACACCGCGCGCAAGCCAGTTGTGGCCGCTTCGTGGATCGCACACGGCCATGCCATTCTCGCCCTGCTGGCCGATGGCCAGTGGGGTGTCTGGGACATTGACCGTGCAAGCTCCAGCAGCGGACGTGGGGGCGTGTTCGGCGCAGGGTCCGCGACATCGGGCATCCGCGGCGCTGCTCTGGCCAACTTTACCATCTCCGGTCAGATTGAGGGCACGACGCCGCTGCGGAATCCTGCGACCAGCGCCCGGAAGTCGACCGAGGGCGACTTTGTGCCCATGACACCGTACACCCGCCGCGATGCCCTCGCCGCCTCGTTTGCTGGCGGTGTCGAGCGGCTTGTGGCCATCCCCGGCGGCGTGGAGGTTGTGCAGCAGCGCTCGCTCCGTGGCACGGCTGCGGGAACGGAGACGGCTGTGCTGTGGCTGGGCGGCGCGGACTACACAGTGGCCGTCATCCCAGATGTATCCCGGTTCTGGGACGCGCAGCTGCGGCGGTCGTCGGGCGGCGGCGTCAACCTCTTCAGCGGTGCTCGGCCGACCCGCATGGCCCGCGTCCACGACCTCGGCGCCAGTCTGCAGGGCGAGCGGTGCTGTGGCGCCGTGGCTGTGTCATGGCCTTCGCTGCCAACGCTGCCGACGCAGCGCAGAGCCTCTGGGGTCCACGGTGGCGATGAAGACGAGCATGACGATGACGAAGACAACGAGGCAGCGACAAATACAAATGGTGGCCAGTCGATTGAGGTGCTCGTCCAGGGTGAGACCCGCCTGGTCGCGACCCGCGAGAGCGGCGAAGACGCCTATGCTGGTGGCTTGACAACACGTCTGCTGGCAGCGTCGGCCCGCCGGCGGAATGTGGGCGACACCGTGACAAGCGCCATTCTCGTCGAGCCGCGCACGCGCAAGCCCGGCACGGTCAAGTTTGATCTGGACGCGAACCAGCTTCGGCAGCAGCAGAGTCTCCTGCGTGGCGGCAGCAACAGCCAGCGCGGCAAGCTGGGCCCTTCGGCCTCTGGTGCCGGCGCGACACCACGCCGTGCGCCGCTGACACGCTCGCTCTTTGAGTCACCTTCACGCTCTGGCCCAGCAGGCAACAACAACAACGGCGGCGGCGACGACGCTGCCGACGCTGCCGACGCTGCCGACGATGCCGATACTGCCCTGGCGCTGACGCCGCAGCGGACACAGCGGTCCTTGTTTGACGAGAACGAGGTCACGCTGACACAGAGCATGATGCGCCCGCCGCCGCGCAACGTCAAGCCCGACCTGACGTTTGCGGGCGGCCTCGAGGACGCGGCCAACGCGCTCGACGATGAAGAGACGGTGCAGGACCGCAACGTCGAGGAAGAGATGCTCGACATTATGGAGATTGACCGGGCGCTCGAGTCGATGGAAGGCCGCCGCGACGGTGGTGTTCGCAACGTCTTTTTCGAGGGCGCCTAGGTCTGCCCTCCAACGGGCGGCAGGCGGCCGCGGCCGCGGCCGGTGAGCTACGAACATGCCTACGCGTTTCTGCTCGGCGGTGCGGCGCAAAAACGTGACAGGGACCTTGACCATGTCAATGACGTTCTATAGGAGGATACCCGAGGCACGAAGAGAGGTTATACGACGGCCTTTGGGGATGATGGAAAGGAAGCGGACAACGCGATCGGGAAGAAGCTGAATACGAACAAGCGGACGGAAAACCATACGGACACCCTGGAGGACTCCCTCGAGGCCTTGAAGAGATTGGCAAGTGCAAACCAGGTTCTGAACGAAACAGCGGCCGAAGTTTCGAAGCTGGAATCGGATCTGCAACGAATGAAGCAACAACAGGACGAAAGCGAGCGCATTAAAGCATCGGTGCGAAAGGTCCCAGACTACTCAGACAACGTGGGTCTCGCGGACATGGACCGACTCTTCCGTATCGACAGCCGGCGCATCAAGGCCGACGTGGACCGGTTGGAAGCGCTCCGCCGTCACGCGCATGCCGTGCGGCAAGAGTTCCACGCCTGCTTTTACTTTGCCGATGTGCTGCGGAACGAGGATCAAAAGCGCCTACGCCGGCACCAAGGCCCCCTCAAGATGTTTGGCGACGACATCCAGCGGATGCCACGGCCACCGCCCTTGGTCCGCACGCACAACCCGGTCTACATCATGCGCGGGAGAAAGTCGTTTGTCCACCACACCCGCCGGGCGGATGCACGCCGCCGCACGCCGGCCAACCGACGCCTGCACAACTACGCAGTGACCTGTCGCAATCTCCTCGTGCACGGCAGAGACACCTTCGTCCGGCACCTTCACACGTGGAACATGTGGAAGGCGATGCAGGGGCATAACGCCGCAAAGGCGCAGCAAGCAGCAGCGGCAGCAGCAGCGTTGGGGCCGAGCGAGACGGACTGTGACGGGGCGCAAGGCTTGTATGTGCTCGACAAAGGGCCCTCGCCAATGACAACCACGGTCCGGGACGGCACCGGCGACGACGGCAACAAACAGGCCTCTTTCGATCGCTACGGCTATCCCATCCGAACGCCCCGGGGACGCCTTCCGCGTCTGCCGTCCGGCTGCGACCAGCCTCCGGCCACGCTCGACGACGCCGACGACCGCTTGATGCGAGCCGACACTCCGGCCCCCTTGCCTATCTACAAGGACTGATGCCGGCCATCCTTCTTGTCGTTCCTAGTTTTGTTTTCTGTTTTCATCATGTCGTTTCCTACGTTGTCTTGTTGCTTTTTTTGCTTCTCCCCTTGTCGTCTTTCATTGTTTTCCCACACAGAGTATTGATACTGAGATATACCGAACCAGCTCTCCGCGACAGACACAAAAATAGCGAGTTTGTTTCCTTCTTCAAAGGGGTTGAGTGAGAGACGAGGCCGGGCTCCACCGGCTCGTGTCGTCTTTCCAACACCCGTGATGGTTTTGCCAATGTGTCCGCCTCTTTGGATCTGTCCCCTTCCTTCTCCCCCTCCCGTCCCCTCTCCGCACGGCATGGTGGAGCACAAGGCTTTAAACTTGTCCATCCTTGTTCCAGGCTCTGTATTCCGAGCGGTACATCAATCCCAGCCCGGGGCAAGATCAAATAATGAAGGACGAGGTTGCGCCGTGAGGGGAGACGGGCGGCGTTTGGTCATCCAACGCCGTCCGATCGCCCTCCTCGCAGCCTCACTACGTCTTTCTCGCCCGGGGCGACGCGCTTTGTTTTTGCAGAACGGCCTTCCCGTTGTTGGGATGACCGTTTGTGCGAAATAAACAACCACTTTTGACCAAATGGCCTCCCCGTCTTCGTTTCTCTCCATGGAGACGGGGCGACAGCGCGTCGGTACATTCGTCCCCAGCGCCAGACACGACAGACAAAGTGATGGCGTGTAACCACGTGGAGTGCCCCTAGAGTGCAAAGAGAGCGTATCAACGTATTGAGCGGACTGTTGATGTCGCGATTGGGTCACGAGGCCCGCTGAGGCATGTGCAGCCTTTTTTTCTTGTACTTTTTTCCACGCCCCAGTGTACGGAGCTTCGTGCCAGTTAGTGCCCCATTGTTGACAGTGCCGTAATTACCTTGGAGTCGATGAGAGTCTAGACGCTCTCCTCTCCAGCCCCAGAACGGGCACATGCGGTTGTACCTAAGGCATCAACGTCAGCAGAATGCGGGTAAGCCCAACGCGACACAATACGTAGCGTAATACGGAGTAATTGCGGCAAATCGGATGGGATGGAGACAGTCGCGCGTATGTTTGCTTCGGTGTTCGCGTTGTTTCTTTTTTTTTTTTTTTTACTCTCTATTTTTGTTTGCGTTTTTGGTGGGCTCGGTGCCTGAGCATAAGCTTGGCCCAACGTCCTGCACGTCTGCACAGTACTTGTCCAGGTCGGTTCCTGCATATTCAGATGCAAGGTGGAGTTGGCCTTGCATATGCGTGTCTTGCCCTTCGGCCTCCATATGTTTAATGAACGTGGCGAGGCGGTAGGCATCTTTCTCGATACTGGTGTCTGAACAGCCTTGCTTTTCTCCCTGCTTATTCTGGTCATCCGATGTCTGCAGGCCATCAAGCCTTTCTGGTTCGTGGCATTCATCAGGCCGCTCGTCGTCGAGATGACAAGGCCGTGTCAGAGACTATGCCGTACCGCGTCTTGACACGTCGTACAACATAGAGTCAAGCCAGATCGAGGACACCCGACAAACACTTTTCCCTTGTGCCCCAAATACGAGATGCGTGACCGCCAAGCAAGCCAAAAGTAAAATCTCTGGTGTTCTAGAGCTCACGGCCGTGCCTGGGCCAAGAATCTGGGCCGCCAAAAAAAGAAAAAAAAAAGGACAGAAAGGAAGGCCAATGAAAAGAAACAAGTGGTGCCTACCGGCCATAAAAAAGACGGGGAGACTAATGCACCCTGCGTGGCCGATGCGTGACCTCGTCACCTCGTGGAGCCTTTTTGTTTCTCAGTCTGGTTGTTTTCCGTTTTGTCTTTCGTCTTTCGCCTCTCTCTCCTTTCTAAATGTCTCGCCGTGTCTCTCATATGACAAGCATCTTGACCCAGTTCGTACCCTTTCCACTTCAGCTCTGCCCCAACATGGATGCGGCCCGGTTTTCTAGTACTTTTTCAATGTCGTCTGGTACAAGTCACTATTTGTACTCGCTGTGTTTTATTCCTCCCAAGACTTGCACACTGGCTCGACTTGGTCCAGTCCCAAAATAAACGGCCCTGGACATGCAAGGCAGACTTTGACTTGTATACCAGGTCGGGGCAGAGTCTTCACCTCAATGATTCCATCCGGTCGACTTAAAAGTCCGGAATGGTCGATGCATGCATGGCCCAATTCCGGGTCCCTCCCGCCGGCCGTTCAATAGTCGAAAGTCCGTCAAAGTCACTCAACACTGTATGTTGTACTGCGCAGACAGTATGCCATTCATGTACGAACGTACTTTTTGTACGACATTCATTCCAAACATTCCGTCTCACGTGCCTTTCGCCAAGACGAGTCGTCCCAGTGACATCGAAACGGGCTGCGGTAAAGAAGTGTGGGACCTCATTCTCTCGCGCCTAGACTCTTTTGCAGGGCTTTTTGGTTCCGAAGCGTCTGGAACTGCCAAAGGCTACGGTGGGATGGCAGGCACGCTTCCCACAGATTTCACTCCGTAATTACTCCGTCTTCCGTGCAAACGACCAAGGTTGCTTTTCTCGTATTCTCAGCAAAGACCACCGGAAGGATCGCGGGTCTTATTCAAGACGTCCTATTTCGGGCAACAAAAACACATCTTGGGCAAATGACGCCGTTGGATGGAACGCCGATATGGTGGTAGTTGTGAGCGTGGATGTGGACGTGAATATGGACAAGTACAAGTATATATGTGTATGTCGCACCGATACTCATACTAGTATGGCGTGCTGCAGCTTGGATATTACCGTCGCGTCCAGAAGCAGGTATTCTTCTTCATGCTTGCTGTCGTATCGAGAGAACTGGGAAGGCGATGCAGTGTCGATCGGGCATCGCACCCATTTTTCATCGCCCAAACTTTGCTGTACATATGTACGTCGCATTGTAGCACTGCCAGGGAGCACGAGGACACGCTCAGACTGCGTAAAGTGGCACATTTCATGCCTGAGGGGAAACGGAACGGGAGGGCAGAGGAGGGGGCCGAAAACAACGCGTCTCCCTCGCATCACTCTCAACTCCAGATCGGCCAGCAGGTCATAGCCCGCTGGCCGTCCCGTCTTTGTTTGTACCTTTGTGCCACGAAACAAAATGCACGAATCGATGTACTGATGATCGCTTTTTGTTTGCATTTGAGCAATCCGAACCAAACCTGTTCCACACCTTGGCAGCCCGTTGGCACATAGAGAGGACAAACAGAACATAAAAAACGAACAATGCAAGCGGCACAAGAAAGAAGGGACAGGGCAGGCGACTCAAAGCGGCCAGAATACTTGTGAAAGGGAGCATCGAGACAAGTGAGAGGCTAAATTGCCGAAAGAGGCATCCAAAGCAAGTCAAGTAACCAGGAGATAAGAGGGGGACAAAGACAAAAACAACGCATCGACTGTCGATACTTTGCATGGCTTCGTTTCGAGTCGTTCTTAGCCACTTTGTTCCCTTGTATGACCTCATCCAAGGATGCTGTGCTTGCATGTGCCTTCACTTTGTTTCTTGGAAAGTTGTGTTTCGTTTTCGGCCAGGGGACAAGGAGAAGCTGCAGGGGGACCTGGGGACGAAACCCAAAAGTGAACGCGAGCTCGACTTGGCTGTGAGAAGGGAAGGGGGGGTTTAAGCTTGACCGCGGCCTGGGCTCAGCACACATTTAATCGTTTGGGACGCCAGAGGCTGTGCTGCAGTTCCCTGCAACTTTCATGAAATGTGCGGCCGGCGAACGACGCCGGCAGGACGGTGCCTCGGATGCGGAGTTGGCACTGTCTGCAAGTTTTTCCTCTTCGTCGAGCATGGCCATCCTCCGTACTCACTTTTCCCCTCAGCGAGATGATCTGTTGTCTCCCTTCATCTGCCCATGCGTTCTTCTGCTCCTCTCCCTAGATGCCGAGCATCGTATGCTGGAAACCATTACGGTTGTCGAGCCTGATTCTCGAAAGGCACGACAAAGACCGTCCTCGTGACTTTCTTCATTGACGGGAAGACAAAGTCAACGGGACACCAGCAACCAACGAATGACAAGGGGACACAAGGACTCACCAGCGAGAAAACGGCTTTGCCTAAAAACAGGGCCTGCCCACTATTCATCTCGGATCGCCGCTGGTGTTTCCCGTTTTCTCTTTTTGGGTGCCAACCTCGCTGCTGATCTCTGTGCGCAGGGACCCGGACGATCCACTTCTTGGCCGTGTCGTTACTCAGTACGAATAATACCGTGTACGGTGCGCGTTTCGTTTCCGCGGAGGAGGTAGGGAGTAAATGGGATTCCAAAGCGAAAAGAGCGAAAGCCGCGCGGTTTGCCTCGATTAATTTCTTTGCCTCTTCAGGGGGCATCGCGGTCCATTTGGGACATTTGGGTGCCTCAAGGTGTGCTTGTCACTCTCATCATCCGCTGACTCACCGTTGTCAACGCTGTTTGTGCCTCTTTGTTGCCAACGTCCGTCAGGGTTCTGTCTTCATCCTGTGTCGCCGTTCATCTTCAACTTCATCCAACCGCCAGGTCATTTCTTTCATCTCGGCTGATTGTCTCTGATAAAGCGAATTCCGTGGTCGTCGCTTTGGCCTGCCGTATCGTCCGTGGCACAGGCTTCAGGCACAGCCGGCTGTGCTTGTGAGCACTGCAGCATTGTAGGTTTGCAGGTATGAAGCCGAGAGATAGATCTTTTGGCGCAGTGCCACCGACAGCACACGACGTTTGCCTCCCTGCGTTTTCATTCGCACCGTGCAAATGATCGACAGTGTCTTCCATCTCCCGCGCCTGATACCACGAAACCGGGCTTAGCCAGGCACCCTGGCTCGCTGTCACCGCCTGTGTCTCTGTTTCGTGCTATGCTGCTGTGCTGTGTTGTGAAATTACCGAGGAGCACACCTTTTGGGTTGTTTTGATTCAACGCGCTCTCCCGCCAACATCCACCCTCCACCACAAGAAAAAGGGGGGATGTCCCGTTCTTTCCCATTTCCTTGCTAGTGCTTTTCAGGTACCAGCCAATGATAGCAGTGGATCGGCGATTCTTCTCCACTTTTCCGTGCTCTCATTGGCCCATACCCTTCGAATGCTTCCCCAACTCCCCGTTCACGTTGAACGGGATGCCCCCTGTTGCAACCCTGTGCCTGGTGGCTGTACACATTAATTCCTTTTCAATAGCTCACAATTTGCATAAAACATCGCTTTTGTGCAGGGACAGCGCGTGCTGCTGGGTGCGTACCTGCGTTACGCCCGAGTAGTGCAATGCAGCGCCAGGTACCGCGTCCCCCGTCACCCAGTCGCTCCTGCCCACTCAACGACAGTCGTATCGCTAGAAAGTGCTTTGCTAGCGGTACCCACAGTTGCAATTTCCCTTTTGTGCCTCGCTTTTCGCTTTTCTCCTCACTATCCCATCGCCCATGGCGCAAACACTCCCCTGTAAGATGCCTCGCAAATGTATCTCAGTACTCCGTGTAGGCACTGTCTTTGTCTCTGTTTTTTGTTCCCTCAACGCGCCTCTTTATCGCACTGCCAGTCAGGAATGAAGCCTGTGAACGGGCGACCCACACCGTAACAGCCCAGAGTCGCACCTTCCCCAGTAGTCATCCACACTTTATCCACAACCCAGAGAGCCAGACTCTTTCCCTTCCCAGACGGTTCCTTGCGCTTCCAACCAGAGCAGAAACCAGCGTGCCTGGCCAGGTCCTGCCTGGCTCTTTCCCCCCCTGGCCTGGCTGTGTGGTGCCTGCCCAGCCCTCCGCACCCCTACCAGCAAAATCTTTCTCACCCAATTTTCTTCGCAATCTCCTGTTTTCTCGCTCTTTCCTTCCACGCCCGCACACCCCTGCTCCCCACCCAACCATTCTTTCTCCTCCCTCTCCTTCCCCCATTCTCCTTTCCCTCTCACTCTCTCTCGTCTTTTCCCTCCCTTCCCCTTTTCTCTCATTCTTCCCATCGTCCCCTTCGAAAACCTTCACTCACCCACCAACACCATCGCCATTTGTTTTCGGACAAGCCACTCGTTTAACCTCCATTTCGTCTCTCCTTTTTTCAATACGCTCTTTTTCTTTCTTCTCGTTCGGTTTCTGCTTTTCTCTTTCGGTCTTGTTTCGTCTTTTCATCGAACCAGCCTACGATCCCGCGCTCGTCCCTGATTCTTGGATTTCTCCCGACACAAAACACAACGCGTCTGCTAATCCGCGGCACGTTCGTCGACGATCATCGAAACGAAACAACTGAGAATATCTCGAGGCGGATAACAGCAAATCGACTGGGCTCTTCAATGTCGACACTCCTGTGAAGGATAGCATCGACAGGAAACGGCCACGACGAAGCATCTCCGACAATTGAAAGGCTGACTCCGACATCAGAAAGAGACAGCAACAAGAACACAATCCCTTTCCCCATAGATCTCGAAAGTCGATCGTGGCAGGACCAACGCATCGGCGCTCCCTCCCATCCGTTCGTATTCACCATCGGAATCGTGACAGGGACTCTCTTCTACGTTTGAAGAGGCGCATCGCTATTTCGACACTTTCGACAACGATCACCTACAATCACTCCAATTCACGCAAAAAAAAAAACACTACCAAACTGTACCAACATGAAGTCCATTGCATTAATCGGCATCTCTGTCGCCGGCTTCGCGGCTTCGGCTGTTGCCGCCACGGCAACCAAGATGGGTGTCGAGCAGCCGTCGTCGTCCCCCATCTACATGCAGCCGGTCGTCCAGGGTTGCTTCTCGTCATCCGGTGACCTCGTTTTCAACTCATCCCAGCCTTTCAACTCGCGAGGCGCATGTGGCGGGACCGTCTGCCAGGCCATGGGCAAGGCCGTCGCCGCCTCCACCGAGGGCAGCAAGTGCTACTGTGGTGACAGCTACCCGCCCAACTCCACGCTCGTCGACGACAAGTACTGCAACGCGCCGTGCACAGGATTCGGCCAAGACGCCTGTGGCGGCACTGGCTACTGGACTGTCTACAACACCGGTCTCGAGCTGTACGGTGTTCCCTACGCAAACGACTCTTCCTCGTCGTCCTCGTCGTCGTCTTCGACCGCCACAACTGCTTCGACGACCATGGTCGGCGGCCAGACCGTCTTTGTGACGCAGACGAGCGAATCCGATAACAGCGGATCGAAGAAGTCGAGCACCAACACGGCCGGCATTGCTGCCGGTGTCGTTGTTGGCGTTGTTGCTGTGGCTGCTGCCGTGGGCGCCGGCATCTTCATTATCCGTCGCCGCCGCAACCGCGCGATCGAGGAGGAGTACCGCCGCAACGCTGCTGTCAACGCCTTCTTCAGCGGCGGCAGCGGCAAGGCAGAGAGCACGACGGGCAGCCACAGTATCTCGGATTCCCGGCTAGACCCCGTCATGTCTCAGCGCCGCATGAGCGACGGCAGCATCGCCGACAACGAAGACTACTCCAGAAGGATTCTCCGAGTACGTGTAACCCGTAACCCTTGCGATGATGCCGTGACGATTTACTATTTAATATGCTTCACAAGGAACACAGCTAACATAGCAACGCAGGTCACCAACGCTTGAGCCAGCCACTTGCCTGAGTCACGACGACGCACGAACTTTTGTTTGTTCTTTACTTCTCTGTCCTACCATCGGCATACTCGGCGTTTGGGTTCTCTTCGTTTCTCTCTATCCACCACACTTTCGACTACCGGCCACCCGACCCCCACGGGTTCTATGATGACTGGATTCGGCTTTCGACTTCTTTGAAAACCACGTCCCCTACTACATCACTTTCCGAGGCATTACATTTCGGCAGCCTCGTCCATTCCCTTATCGCGATTTGATTTTATTTCCTGCTGCGTTATATACACACTCCTTATTGATACAAAGTCAAACTATTGTTATGGCTTCTTTTTGTGGGCTGCCGATGGGTCGATGTGTTGATATACTTGTTTTTCTGGCGGGCGTCTTTATTTCTCAATTGACCTATTTCCTATTTTGCCTGTTTCTCTCTCCTTTCGTATCTCTCCGTCGTTCTTCCGTATTCTTTTATATTCTTTACTTTTGTTTCGAAATGTCGCCATTCGAATCTTTTTTATTTACTGTTTTGGGTCCTCTTTTTCTCCGCCACCATTATGTGGGAGAAGACGAAAACACCGCACAAAAGACAAAATCAACCTCAAATACTACTTCTTAAATTCTTTTTTAGCCCTGCCCGCCCAGTGGACAGTCGTGATTTCTGATGCTCGTTGCTGGATTGCCTACAATATGGGTTCCTACTGACATTTTACATGGGAATTGAAACCATAACGCCCACATCATATTCACAGCTACCTTACGTTGTACGGTGACTCAATCCAAATGCCACTACCACACGCATGTTTGCAGTTGCTCGACGACGTGCGTGCACTCACAATCATTTGTCTCCCGCGCACCCTCACGGCTCGTCCCGTTTGTGGTCAATCGTGCCTATTTACACCTCGTCATTCCTGTGCATCGTTTTTTTTTTGTCCTATACCATCCCCGATACGGCCTCGCCGTGGCCGAATCCATGTCCATTGTGTCGCTCTCTGTCTTTCTCCTTCACACGTCTCCAGAAGACAGGAAGTGAGAAACACAGTCGATGGGCGCATCCAGCTGTGGGGTTTACAAGACGGCCCCTGTCAGCCTGGACCACGGTCACGATCACCACCAGCACGATTTGACATCCTCGATCACGCGACAGTGGCAGCGATACAGCGCGGCCTAACGTTGTTTCCCCTGTGGCCTTTGGGTCAGGTCACCACGACAAAAACATGACTGCTAGTTCGACGACGCTACGCCGGGACGAATGCTGCCAACAAGCAACGACCAACGACAGCAACAACAAAGCTGGTTATCAGCCAGTACCAGCAGCAGTACCCCCAACCCGCGCCATATCGTGTCCTTATCTGGGCGTAGAATCTGTCCCGTCTCCATGCTGCCACGCCTCTGACGATGTGTCAATGGGCAATGAGCCCAACCGTCTGCCTGGCTCTGCTCGCGCTGTTGTTCCTCCAGCGGCGTGACGCACTGTATCATGTCACTACATAGATAGGGGCTCTGTCTCGATATGAGTAATACCTGTAGGGAAAAAGGCCGTGATGAGACAAGCAATTGGTCCCCTCCAGGACGATAGATGCAGAGCTTCACGGCACAGCCTCGTTGTAACGAAAGTATCGATGTTAAACACTCTAAGCTATGCCATATATTTTTTTTAAAAAAAATTGGTGTCGTAAAATATCTCATTTTTGGCTATGATTACAGCGTAAGACATCTGGCAGAGTTTAAACATTATCGAATCTCATGGTTTATTTACCTGTTGCCAAAGCATATGAATCTATAAAAATAAAATCAAACCATGGGTTTTCCGTCATTTTTTATATGCTATTTATTATAACTGTTATTTTTTTATTTTCACCAAAAATCCAGACTATGACCAAAACACCCTTTCCCCTTCAAAAGAAATGATCCTCTCTCAGGAATAACAACATAGGCCTCGTGGGATGGAGCAGGGGGAGAACAAGACAAACATCGACCTTGCATTTTCTTTGGGTGATACCGAAGTCTTACTAGCCGGAGACAAAAAATGTCACGATATCCTGGTATCCCTCAAGTTTTCCCGACAGTTTACAAGACATGAGCAAATAAGGGTAGACCGCAGTCTTCCAGTCGTTTGGGATGACGCAAGGGACAAGGCAGGGACAAACAAGGGACACAAAAGGACGGGTAGAGGGATGCACCGGACTCTCGGCGGACCCGTAAACGGACCGGAAAATGAGACGACATGAAAAACGAGCTTGACAAGGGCAGCTGAGCTCCTATTCGGCTGGTTTTCTTTTGTCCTTTGATTTTTTCGTTTTCTTCTGTCTCCCTTGTATCTACCTCTTCTCGATTCAGTGCCACCCGATGTTGCTTGTATCCCCAGGGCGAGTCGGCCATCCAGACGGTCTAAAACCTGCGCACAAAACGTATGATATAAAAACCGAAGGCGGAGTGGGGGTAGAGAGAGGACACAACGGGGAAGCTACCCGAGAGGGTCAATACCTGAGTAGTAGTGTACGATGGGAGGGCAGTCCCGGACGGGATGGTACGGGGCAGTGGAGGGCCAACGTGGGCTGTGGGCTCTCGGGTTGGCTGTAACTGGTTCTTTGATGGAACGACGTAAACTAGGCATGGGTCGGTCTGGGACGAGTCGAATCGCCGATGCATCAGCGAAGAGGCATTTTGGACAATCTGCAAAGCGATAAAGGCCGAGAAAGGCCCAGACGAAGAGCCTGGCGAAAACGAAAAAGCGAGGGCTGTTCGGAGCGGAGGACTCGTTTGCCCGTCAGCACGGACAACGGACAATGTACAACGGAAAGAAACGGGCCCGACATGACATGGACCGCTGCAAATGCCTCGTCAGACCAGAATGCAACTGGTGAGACACCGTCGACATGCATATTTTTGCTTTTGTTGCTCGATTTATGTTTAGTTTTGTTTCCTTTTTGAATTCTTTTCCCGTTTCTCCCCCCCCCAGCCCCCTCCTCCCACATTATCGCCTCGGTGTGAACCAGACCCCATGTTCATAGCCTGCAGATCGCGTTTGCACTTATGCAAGGTAGGTGCATACGAAGTACTGGCGAAGAAAAGTCGACAAAGGGCAAGAGTGAAAAAGGCGAAACAACAACAAGAACGGCCCTGCAGTCCTGCAGGTCGTGCATGCAAGGCCTTGCATGTATCCAATGAAAGGCGAAGCGGTGAGATACCGGAAAGGACTAGCGACATTGTCGCACATCCTTTTGACTCTTTTCTTTTCCGCTTTGGTTGGGGCAAGACATTCTGTCACTTCTGACAACTGGTCCTCGAGGTGCTGGTCGCTTTTTTATCTTTTTTCTCTCAATGCAGTACGCCGTACGGAGTAGTCATTCATTCGGCATACATGAGAAACAAGTACTTTGCAATTCCATTTTCTTGGGTCCTGGGTTTGTTAGGGATGCGCTCTCGTGCCATTTTCTATTGGACAGTAAAGGACGAGCAAGGGTCCCCCCCATTTTGCCGGAAGACCACCCTGGTATGCCGGCAAGCATATTGAAAGACAAGAACGGCAGACGCAGAAAGAAGAAAAAATAACAAAAAAACAAAAAAAAAACACGGCCGACAATTCCCTCCCGTCAAGGTAGGATGCAGCTGTAGCTGCAGATTCTGAAGCACGCCATGAAAGCACTCCAAGGCGCGGAATGGGAACAGAACCAGGAGGGGATGTGCAGGATTGGAGGAAAGAGGTGTGTGACGACGCTGGAAAGTTACGATGCAAGGGGGAGGGGGAAAGGAAAACAAATACGAGTCGTCATCAACAAAATGAGCAGTCAACAGTCCGAGTAATCGGATAAACGAGTAGCTTTCGAATTTGTACCACGTATGCACGACAGAATTCACTTTTTGCGACGGAGCCTCGAGCCCATGCTGTGGCAGAAAACCGAAGCCACTGATTTGCTATGTGCGGCTTCTTTGCATCGGGCATAAACATGCGAGAGCTCTGGAGGAGACGCACTGTATCACATTCCACAACAGGAATAACACGACAGGGACAACAAAAGCCCGCGCGAGCAGTGGAAAAGGAACAAAATAAATTAAAGAGGGAGGGAAACCACCACGTGTGGACTGTGTGCCTCTTTGGTTATCGTGGCGGTCGCATGGCTGGTGGACAAGCTGCAAGAATTGTATACAACACTATCTCGACATTGTACACCGTAACGACTTTTGCTCGCCATACGCCTTTCTTTGTTTCTCTATTGGCTTAGCTCACCAGTTGGACCTGTTTGGCCCCCAAGATGTGCCAAGTTTAGGCGACAAAAGGCGCCAGTTGCCAACCGCCCAAGACCGTGTGACACATCTTTTCCTGTTCGCTAGAGTAGGATGCGTACCGGTTCGGGGGCACATAATTTTTGTTTTTAACGAGAGCACAGGCCAGGCCAAGAGCATGTTGCCGTCGACGATCGACAGCCTCGGGATTGCGTAGAAGGTGGGCATGGCATATCTTGGACTCTCTTTTTGGCCTTTTCGGCATCTGTTTCGGATTGTGTGTTTTGCGTCCCTCTTTTTTCTTTGTCGTCCAATATCTTGCTGGGCGTTGCCTTGGAGCTCGGTTTGAGATATTTGGAATGACGACGCCTAAGCTTGAAAGGTGGGCCTGCCACGTCGTAGCTTCCTCACAGCAGGCCGGATTTACTAAGGGGACAACCGGACACTGGACTTGCCCGATTAGACGACAAACTTTCCTCCAACAGACTGCCTTCCAAGGGAGAAAAGGCAAGAGGCCGGGGCCAACACGGCGCCAAAACCCAAACGATGGGGAAGGAGCCAAATCGATCGACTGGGCTACATCGCCTCAAGGAAAGAGCAGGCCGGGTTTGCCAATCAAAGAAAGAAAGAGGCCGTAAGGCCTTGGGGGCACTATTATGGACTCCGACCTGGGCCTGGCCAGAGTGCCAAGCGGGCTCCGGTGAGGCGAATAGGGACGAAACAGCAAAGAAGAGACAAGTGACTGGCAAAAATTAGAGAAAGAGGGGCTGTTCAAACACGTCGAGGCTGTCAACTGGAAGTGGCAAACGGGCAAAAATTCCATAGACCAAAACAAGAAAAAAAAGAAAAAAAGAGAAAAAAGAAAGGAAAAAAGAACGAAAGAACGAAAGAACGAAAAAACGAAAAAACGAAAGAAAGAACTGGACCAGCTCACAAGTTGCAGCCAGGCACCTAAACGAAAGGCAAACTACCAAAAGGGGAAGTTGCCAGCTTGAGATGGGAAGATACAACTGGGGCAAGAACGTGGTCCTCGTACGATGGAAAACCGGAAGGAACATATGAGGACACGAGATGGAGACAGGTCCGAAGGTGAGTGGTCGCTGTGAGGCCAATCACATCTAACCAACTGTGCGTGTGTAAAAGTCATAATGCCCTGCAGTAAGGAGTAGTACCTTTGCGCCTGGATGGATTGCGCGTTAAGAGGTGTCGCGCGATCACAGACCTTGTCCATTCTCGTCTCCATTCCTGGCTGGCCGTTGTTGTCTTGTCTCGTTCCTTCTTCAAGCGCCACTCGTCGCGCCCTCGCGCCTGCCTCCTTGTAGACTTGCATCGCCGTTGACATCCACTCGCCATCGGAAAAAAAACGGGCGCGGCTGCCTTTTCTGCCATTCGCCCCTCATACTTGGGGAGTTTGCGACGTCACTGCGTAGCTGCTGGCCACTCCCTTTTGTTCTCTCGTAGTTCGCTCCTTCCCGCAGGCGGCAATCCATCGCCGCTTTAGGAATATCACGCTGTTGCTCACAGTCACCCATCGTCGCTCTTTCCCCGTCTCGACACCTGCCCGTGCTCCATACGGTATATCGAAACCCCTTTTCCAAATTCATCTCGACTTTTTTCTTTCTTTCTCCTAATTTCCTTTTCACCTCTCCTGCTCCTCCGGCTCTTTACGTCGCATCTCGACACTCGCCTCCCCACGCCCTCGTCCTCCCCACAGCGCATCCCTATCGGTTCGCGCCTCTTGTTTCCTTTCTGGTCTCCTACCAGCCTGGGCCCAGACCCTCGATCCTCCGCCGCACAGATTACGACGGCGGAGATTTCCAGAGGACAGCGTCAGATGCAGCCCAGCCTAATAAAAGCACAAGCCAACTCGTCCATTTCGTCCAATTCGCCAACGCCAGGTCTGCCGAGCAGCATTCTCCGCTCCCTCGCCCCCAATCCATCAACTGGCACCACCCCGTTAGCCGTCCAAGCCCAGGGAAGCTAGAGATCTCAGCCAGTCATCTGCACGCATCGCGTTGGTTCCTAACCGCATTCTGTGACGTTGGCTTTTTTTCTGACGAAAGTGGTGCCTCTTTTTCCGCCCTGTGCTTTCTTTCCTGCCTACTCTTTCTACGGAATACCGGAGTACGGAGGAGGGCCTCTGCTTTTTGCTGCCTCGCACAGTCGTCGTTTGCCCATTTTATCGATATCGCTTCACATCTTGTCGCCTCGCCTTCTTCCTCCTTTTCTTCTCTCATGTTCTTCGTCCACCTCTCATAACCTTGCCGACCAGATCCGCCCAGGTCCCTTGGTCCGTTTTTTGTCCTTGTTTGTCTCATTATTCGAGCTTCGAGCTTCGAGCCTGGCCTGTCCTGCCCGCTACGCCTTTTGGTCTCTCTAAGCCTTTTCTTTCAGATTTTTTTCGAGCCCGTCACGTTACGCACTTACTGCCTTTGTGCCTCGTCTGTCTTTATTTTTGTCAAACTTGCCTCCCTCTGTCTCTCTGTCGCTCCTATTTCCCTGCTGGTCCTTGCGCTGCTTCATTTCTCCACCCCGTCCTCCCCTTGTCTCCAGCAACCTGCCTTGGTCGCGCCAACGCCACGCAAGGTACTCGACAAAGTACGAATTACATGTACTCTTTTCACTCTCGCTCTGTGCCGCGCAATCCTCCCCAAATCCACGCCCCTCCACATTTTCCCACACTTGCGCACCTCACCGACGCCGCTGTCGCCCACACACCACAAACCCTTTGTTTCCTTTTCGGGAATCCGCCCGATACAGACGTCAATAACACCGCACCTGCATATTAGCTTGCATATTTTTTTTTTGTATCATTACCACCCGTCTCCCGCATTCAGCAAAGCCCCGGCCCTGACCCTCCATCCCTCCTGGTTTGCTTGGTGTCTTGGTGTCTTGGTGTTTCGGCCAAACGTGTGTTTCCTGGTCCGTGACTTGGTCTGTGTCCGGTGGTTCCTCTTGTTGTGGTCCGCCTTTGCTGCTCGTGCGCTTGCGCCGCGCACGCCCCATTGCGTCCTGACCTACCCCGACCAGTTTTCTTTTTTCCTCGCTGTCTTTCTTTCTCGTCCCTTCTCTTCTTCGTCGCACTCCGTCGCCGGTGCCGCACTCCCACCTCTCTTCTTTTGTGACGTACTTTTGTGTCCTCATTTTCTTCTCTCTTCGCCAACCCTCCTCCCTTCTTTTGAGCACCGCTTGGTTTACTGCTTTCGGTCCTCACTGCTTGCTTCCAACATCCCGGCACTGTCGCGGGCAGCCTTTGAACCTCGCTACGTCGTCACATCCCGCCCCCTCCTTGCTGCTCTCCACGATTCCATCGCTTATCCGTTGGGGGCCATTTCATCATCGCTACCGAAGTTGCCGTCCTCTCTCCGGCCTTGGGCGGCAGCGCACCAGCCCTAACACTTTCGCCACCGCCGCCATCGCAACAACCGCCGATACACAACGTGTACCAGATGACGTCTAATGTCCAGAGGTTGCCGGCCGCCGTCGGTCGGCTTTGTATTCAGGCATAGATATACTCTCCCAACGAATTGCGTCAGCTCCCGCCCCTTTATCTAGGGAGCGCATCTCACTCTTCGGCCCCCCCGGGCCTCGTCCCACCGCGCCCGCGTGCGCTCCCGTCGCGCCCTCACCCTCACCAAGTCATATTACCTCGTACCATCTCCGTTACAGCACCACTACGCACACATAGAATGGACACCGTCAAGTTCGTGCCGCCTGGCGGCCATCGCGCATGCCTCAGCTGCTCTGCCGCGAAAGCCAAATGTGTCTTTTCCGATGAGACAGATGGAGTCGACGGCTTTGTCGACGGCCTCGACTTTATCAACAGCACCAGCAACGACCTTGCTGGCTCCTCCCGTGCCAGTTCCTCGGCCACCGGTGGCCTGGAAGGCACGCCGGCCGTTCCCCGGTGCCAGCGATGTGAGCGCCTCAACCGAGATTGTCTCCTACCCACGCGCCCGCGGAAGAAGCGGCGTGTTGGAGCCATAAAGTACGTACCCCCAAGATATACTCTCCCTGGAGCGCGAGTCTTGTTTGCCGCAGCAAGTACTAACCGCCCCAGACCTGGAACGAGTCGTTCCACGTTCTCCGTGATGCCACAGACCGCCTCACCCCAACAAAAGGCGACGCCGTCACGAACCACCCATAGCAACTTTGGTGCCCACGGTGCGACCGGTTCGCCGTCAAGGCCGGCAGCCACCCCGGCAGGCCATTCGAGTGCAGGTCAGACTTCGTCGTTCCCTGCGAGCCGGATTCCCTCGCTCTCCAAACTGCCCACGCCAAGTGGTGCAAGCAGCAGCGCAAGCTACAGAGGGAGCGGTGGTAACAGCCAGCCGCCGCTGAAACGAATGCCATCAGGCATACCGCAATCGACGATGCATTCAGCCTCCGTCATACCCGGCCCGCCGTCGTCACTCCTCATGCACCAACACCACCACCAACAACACCACCAACAACAGCAGCAACAGCAGCAGCAGCAGCAACAACAACAATACGCCAATGGCACCAAACCCCCGACCGGCATTAAGGCCGAATCCACAACATCAATACCAATAGCCGCACTGCCCTTGGTGCCACCACCACCACCACCGCCACCACCCTCCTTCTCCCTACCTCCCCCGCCACCTGTCGCATCGCCACCGTCCGTCGATCCGAACAATAAGAACTCCTATGCCGGCAGCAGCTCATCGGCCACGGTTATGCCGCCCGGGAGCCTTGGCGGTAGCACAGGCGCTACGTCGTTTGTAGGCAGTCCAACGTCCTCGGTGGGCGCCGGTGGACACCCGCAAGAACCGGCTGCACCGGCTGCCCCCGCACCGAACGCGCACCAGGTCCTCATCGACTCCGTATTCAACATGGACGAGCGCGAAGCCGAAGAGCTCCTACGTTTCTACCGGGACGCCTTTAGCAAGTTCAATCCTTACATGGAACCAACGCCGCCCGACACCAAGGTTTCCGATCTGCAATCCGAGAAACCACTGGTCTGGTTGAGCATTGTCTGTGTGACGTGCTACCACGACTTTGAGCGCCAAAACTGCCTGGCCCGTGCCATCATCTACTACATTACCGACAAAGTTTTTCTGAACAACCGCAAGTCACTGCATATGCTGCAGGGCCTCCTCATCTTTGTGAACTGGTTTATCTCACAGAACTTTGTCTTGCCGCAGTTCACCAACTTGATCCACATCACCATGGCCCTGATTGCCGACCTCGGTCTCAACAAGCTCATGTTCTCCAAAACGAATGCGCGCTCGCCGCTCGACCGCTACGTCTCCAAGACGATGCATGGCCCTAGCATTGTCGCCCCGGACGAGGGACACACCTTGGAAGAGCGCCGTGCCTTGGCAGGTGGCTTTATCTTGTCGCATGCCATGTCCGACGGGATCCTTATGTTTACGCCGCTGCACTACACGCTGCAGCTGGAAGACACCTGCCGGGTTTTTGAGACGGCCTTTTACGAAAAGTCCCAAAAGTCTGATGCTATCACAGCTGTGGTGACCGCCGACTTCCAACTCGCCATCACTGTCCGCTTCTACAATCTTATCAGCCGAGTCCTCCAGGTGCAGCGGGACGCGGATCTCTGCGGCGGCCGCTTCCTGGTCCCTGTGCGCACGCATATTGAGAATTTTGTCGGCGAGCTGAACAAAATCTGGAACAGCTTATCCTACGACATGCAGCAGGACTGTAAGTTTCAACGTTTCAATATCGCTGTTTGATCTTTTTGTCCCGCAACTAACACGGCTGCCAGTCAAAATCCATCTCGGGTACTGTACAACCAAGATCTACATCTACGAGTTGAGCTTGTCGGCCAATACCACGCCCTTTAAAGCACACAGCACACCCAGCCGCGAATCGGACGACGGCTCCGCGCCCATCGAGGGCGACATGCCCATCCAGTGCTACATTGCTGCCAAGGAGTTTTTTGACGTGTACTTGACGTTGCCCGTCAGCCTGTACCACCAGTTCCCCGTCACCGTGATTACGCAGCTGGTGCACGCGGATCTCACGCTTGCCAAACTGACAGCCTACTTCCGTGGCAACACCAAACCGTTCGGAGTGCCAGAGGGTATCACGCTGCCCGCATTTGCCGACGTCATTGACGCCGTGGCTGGCCGCTTCCAGAAAGTGCGGACGGTGCCGCATCCTCTTGGGTACACGGTGCGCAATATTATCTTTGACGCGTTCGCAGTGCGTTTGCGGTCGTTCAAGGTGCTGGATCTGGCTGGGCGGAAGAAGAAAAGAAAGGAGGAGCGGGAGAAGGAGAGGGCGGCGGCGGCGGCCCTGCGAAGCCAAGGCCAAGGCCAAGGCCAGGGTGAAGGTCACGGTCATGGTCACGGTCACGGCGCACCAACCGCCCCGTCGGGCCCATCTGCTGTCAACCGCTCTCCCCCGACAGCGAACACTGTGCTGTCCATCAGCAACCTGATTGGAAACGTGCCCGAGGCCATGAACACGGAGCCAGACAGCGGGTCCGAATCGGCCGGGCCCATCGTATACCCGACCGTCGAGATGGACCTAGACGTCGACGGCCTCAACATGCACGGCGACCTTCCGGACCGAAGCCGGCCGTCTACGGTTGACGAAGAGCCGATGATGACCAACGACAACATGGACATGATGGAGCTCACGGGCTCGGACGAGGAGGACCAGGCCGAGTGGTGGGCATGGTTTGGCGATTTCCAGTCGTCGCTGTTTGGTGCACCACCCGCGCCACCGAGCACGACAGGCGGCAGTGCCAGCGGGGCCAGTGCGACGGGCGCCAGCAGTGTGGCGGGCGGCAGTGTCGCCGGTGCCAGTGCCGCTGGCAGCACGGCAGGCGCCAGTGTGAGCGCATCGGCCACGGGCACGGAAGACAGCTACAGCCACACGGGGCGGTTCACCGGCCAAGTCCAGCGGCGTAAAGGGCCGAGCAGTGTGGGCAGCATTGACAGCCTGCTGAACTGAGCACTGAGCGGGGGTCGTGTCCGTGCAGAGGGCGGTAAGACATTGTCGACAATCTACAGTCACAGTCAACAACGACGAAAACGTACTCCTGGAAGCGGCCAGTGGTTCGTATATTTTAATTTTGGGTAAAGCGTTGTACATAATATTAAAAAGCGTCTGCGTATTTAGTCAATCTTTGTATATGGTTTATTTTGGATATCCTGGCGACACAGAACAGACACAAAGAGACCTGGTTACAAGGGAATTTGCCTAAACCCATGCCAACCAACAGTGTTACCGAGCAAAATTCACGTTTTTTTCTTTTTTCTTTTTTCTTTTTTTTTTCTTTTCCGTCTTGGGGAGCCGTTGCAGCGCATGGCGCACGGAATATGTACGTCGGACTCGCGTCTATTGGTGGCGTTGGGGTTGAACATCATATGACACTGTTTTGGTTACCGGATTGCGCAACTGGCCGATGGTGCTGTAAATCCAGCGAGCCGGGATCATGGTTGCCTTACTGCGGGGTAGACACGAATTGGGCACCACCGCTCTCGGCACGACTTTGGAGCAGCGACGACGAAAAGCCAGCCGGCTCATTGCATGTACAATGAGTTTCCACGTGTCCATGCTGGGACTCGGTTTACGTACGTCGTGCTGATTGGGCGTGTATCCAGCGCATCTCGCCCGGGGGCGATGCAGTCGGGCTCCTCGTCGTCCCCGCCCAAAGACGACGTGTTCTGGAGAGGCCATAATACGCTGTTAGGCGACGGCAGGGTCCTGGAACCCTGCTGCCCCTCTAGCCCTCGTCCCGAGGGTCGACATTGGCACGAGTGTACTCCGTAAGAAGTAGTAATTACAGAGTGTTAGGCCATGTGCGCACGACTATCGTTCGCGCCGCTTAGTGGATGGGGGCGGGCCAGCGCAGCGAGACCAGTGGAGCGCGCTCACTCCCGGCAGACGCCTGTGGACCAACCAAAGCGGGCGTGTGAACATGTGAGGGCAGCCCGACATCGAGACGGCGTGGGAGGGTTGCGCACATCGGAAGAGGGGGAAACGCACGGAAACGCACGACCTCCGACTCTGCACACGAGCGCTTTTACGACGTGCATCGTGGGGTGCATCCAAAGGAGTGAAACTGAATTCTTCATCCTTTGTTTGACTACTTTCACATCTGCATACTCCTTTGTCAGTCGTCCCCATAGTCCTTTCATCGTTGCCCTGCACGGCTGCCGCACGCGGCCTAGAACGACCCCACAGCAGCGTATTGCTGCCCTAGTTACACTGTAATTACAAGGGGGCCTGGCCAGGCCATTCCTGTCACGTCCTGTGAACCTCAACAATTCACCGAGCCGCATTCACGCTGGCCGCTTCCCAGACCACGTCTCTTTGCGAGATCCTCTTCTCGACGGACGCGAAGCCATAGTCAAACTTCTCCTGCGCTGCACAGTATCGCGCCCACGAACCGTCCGGCTGCCCATGCCCAACCCGCGACGCTCTCCGCCGCCTGTTCCGGTAACGGCGGCCGCGAGAGCACCATTATTCCCCCCGGCAGCAGACGCAGCATCAGTCGTGCTTCCTCTTCCGTCACCAGCACCATCACCCACCAACACTTCGATAGCCATGACTTCGTCTCCAGCGGTGCCGCCAGTGCCCGCATCCACGACGGCCAAGAGGAAACGTCACGACGATGACGACGACGACGACGACGACGACGACGCGCACGCTCGCCAGGACGTACCATCACCCCCACCGCCACGACCTCTCCTTCCTCGAACCACTACTATCGCCCTCCACACCGCTGCTCCGCGATCTCCACCGGCCAGCGCTGCCTCCTCCTCCCCCCCTCTCGCTGCCTCCTCCGCGACATCCCGATTCTCCTTTATCACGCCACGACCACCGTCTGTGGGAGACGGCAGCGTCGTTGGCCCGGAAGCCGACGGCGTGTCGCCATACCACCTCCCGCTCGTCCAGACCGCCGGTCTTGCCTTTGCGCCGTTTGTGGCCGGGCGTGCCGCCCTCGACCCGCACGACGGTGGCGGTAGCAGTCCGCGCACGCACGTGGCCAACCGGTTCAGCAGCCTGGCCATTGCTGGGGGCACAACGAGCCAGGTCGAGGCCAGGCTTGGGACCGACGCCAGAGCGGAAGCCGCTGTCGACAAACAGCCGCTCCACAAACGCATGAGGCGGGATGGCGGCAGCGAGGATGCCAAACCGCCTGCCGGTGACACCAACCGCGTCATCACCGACCCCTTGCGCGCCTCTCTCACCTGGCAGGACGACGAGATTACTGTGTACGACCCCAACGACGCCGACGACGACGGCACCGGCGTCAACGGAATCGGGTTCAAGCCGACGCCCGCCATGGCCCACGCCCGCGCCCTCAAACGCCGCCAGCAGCTTGCTGCCTACCGCAAGCGGGAAGAGCGCGAGGCGCGGGCGCGCCGCAGCTGGCAGCGGACGAGGGCCAATCGGGCCTCACAGGCCAGCCAGGCCAGCCAGACCGGCACCCAGGCACAACTTGATGATGCCGGGTCGGGGTCTTCCTCACAGTCGTCCCTTCCGTCCCTCGACGACATGGCCTCGGTATCGGCCGTGGCCTCTCCGCACACGCCCCGAGCGCACACGACGGCCGTGACGACGGCGGCTCTCTCGCCGCCCCCGTCCTCCTCCCCCGCCGCCTCCCCCTCGGTCCGTCGCGTGCGCTTCCTCGAGACCGGCCCGGTCACCATCCGGTTCAAGGAGCCGGATGCCGTGCCGAGTCCGACGTCGATCATGTCGTCGTGAACTCTGGCGGCCTCTCCAGCTCGCATGAGTAGCACATGTATATACTTGGTTTACGTCTGGTTCCTGTCTATTTTTACTGCTGCGTGCTGTTTGGTTTACGAGACACGTCTTATGATTAGGTGTTGGGTTTTGTTTCTGCTCCTACCTCTTTGTCCATGCTGCGGCTCCTCTACACGTACATACTTCTATACTGTTTGTGTCGATACTGATACCCAGGACCCGTCGTTCATTTTCTTCTCTGTCTTTCCATTCCGCTTCTGCACGACTACTCCATTACAGAGTACTCCTTTGTATCTACTGTCTTTTCCAGTACTACTGTTTCAATATGCTCACATGAAACGAATATGCGAATACATAATCATTCACGCATGCCTTGTACAATGGCACCTCTGTTACGCACTCTTCTTTGAGCTAGACCTTTTTTTCTTTTTGTTCAATTTCGTCGACATCGTGACACAATCTACCAAAACTTGTACCATCGCTTCGCCTTGGCCTCTTCCTCCAACCGTAATGTCTCCGCCCGTGCGGCCGCCGCCGCTGCGCGTGCCTTGTCCGCTTCCCGCCGCCGCAGCTCCGCCTGTTTCCGGTCGTACACTTCCACCACCCGCTTCATTTTGGCTGCCTCGGCCCGCCGCGCCCCCTGGCACACCTCAAACGCCACAATACCCCCCACCGCAAACGCCCCCACCGCCCAGTTGGCCGCCTTGGGGATGCTCGCGCCCAGCACGAACCGCAGCCCCCCCACCACGGCGCCGCCGCCAATGCCCGTCAGGAAGCCCTCGCGCGCGCACGGGATCTGGTAGACAGTCAGGAAGTCGCTGGCCTTGATGGTCTTGACGGCGTCGGACACGGAGGCCGTCTGCTTGACGGGTGGTGCCGGTGCCGTTGACGGTTGTGGTGCCGACTGTGCCGACTCTGCCTGTGTTTGTGAAGACGGCCGCAGCTCCTCGCTCGTTGGCGGCTTGTCAAAGTGCTGCGCGCCCCACGTGGCCGTCGGTGCCGTTGTCGGCGGTGGCGGTGACGGCGCTGAAGAAGCGTCGCCGGCCATGTGGACGAAGGAGGACGGAGTGGGTAGAGAGGTTGAGGTTGATAGAGGAGAGACTGGTTTGGCGAGAGACCAATTGGTTGTTTTTTTCAGTCCAGGTTCGTGTGCTGTCTTCGTGTGTGCTCGTGTGGTATGTGTGTATCTCGCCCGGCTCGTGACATCGTCATGATCGTCTCGAATCGTGGATCGTGTGATTTCGATGATTTCGGTGTAGTTGGAAAAAAACTGTCCAGCCAAAACGGCCCCACTTTTTTCGCCTTTACGACGTCAGAAGCATTTGGAAGTGAGGGGAGCTCAGGGGAAACAAACAGCGACTCTATTGGCTGCTGGTCCGTGCGCCGAACGACCACTTTAACGGGCCGTGGCCGACGCGTGTTGGTTCCAGGGCGTGTCAAGCGCTGTCTTTCAGCGCACTTGGGCGCACGCGAGGTGCACTAATTAAGCCATTAAACTCCCGCTGTTTTTTGGCCACGCCACGATCAAAACGCGTCTTTTGGTGCAGGAGGGGGACCTCGAACGCGTCGTCTCGTCGCTCCTTCCTTGCCCTTGCGGCAACAGGCTCTTTACGCGCAACAGCAGAATAGGGAAGGCGCCGCCAAGTAATTACGCACCGTAACAAGTAACAGCGACCAATGCCTCTTGCCCTTTGTACTGCTCTGTATTTCGTTGGATTTGGCGTGTCTGTTGTGTCCCTCTGTTTTTCCGCTTCTGGATCTCTTTGTATCTTCTCCATACCTCAAGATATCACGATACCCCCTGCGGACATCCACGAACGGCAACGATCACGACCACGAACGAGCCGACACGGCGAGCACACAGAAGCTCGGCCTGCACAGATCCACGACCGCTTCTGTTTCCTCTTCCTTCCCTCCCACTCTGGCAACCCCCTTCTTGATGTCAACAGAGTAGATTGAACGAGGACCTCTTCGATCCTCGTCCCGTCGCTCTCCTTTGTCCCTTCTCCCCCTCTTTCTCTCTCTCCCTCTCACACACACAATGCCCAACACAACATTACGGCGGCAGCCACAAAAAGGCTTCCGCAAAGGCGGCGCCAAGAAGGCCTACCATGGCGGCAGCGGCACCCGCCCACAACGCACCTTTGCCGCCGGCAGCGGCCGCAACGAAGGCACCTCGGCCGACGAGAAATGGGAACGCACCCGCCTCGCCCACGCCATCGACGAGAAGATGGGCT